ATTATTATCACCTAACACATACCACCGGGATAGTATTTCATGAATTATATTCCTGGACGTACTTATGTGAATTCCATATAGTAATTACTAGCTACAGAATCTTTTAATTATCAAATTGTGGTGAATGTAAGAGACAATAAATAATTGGTGCAACGTCCATCACTAGTATAAGTCTGTTGATATTCAAGAACTTTGCAATGTTTACACTCATATCGCGATAGTTATTTTGGGGCAATAGATTGATTGGAGATAGTCAGACCAGATAGTTAGAGACCTTTACTAAAGCAGACATCAAAATATTTCAGTGAATAGCTAATTAATGTTTGTGTAATGTTTTCGTAAAGAAGTATTACAAGTATTACACTCATATCGCGATAGTTATTTTGGGGCAATAGATTGATTGGAGATAGTCAGACCAGATAGTTAGAGACCTTTACTAAAGCAGACATCAAAATATTTCAGTGAATAGCTAATTAATGTTTGTGTAATGTTTTCGTAAAGAAACATCTGGGTCAATAATATTTTGACCGTTACAGTATTTGTTATCTAGTTACATTAAAGGTATCGTATTTTTAGCAGCCCTTATCGAGCTTCACCCGTCGCAATATCTGTAATCAAATCTTAGAAATTAAATTGGTCCCGCGTTCAACTGAGTAAAATTTTAAATCCCTTTCACTTAAGCGATACACCTAGAAATGCGTGAATGTACGTAAGTATAGTGAAAATGTATGCATATGTCAGTTTGCATTTACATTAAACATCAGCTCTTTTCTATCAAGCCAAAAGAAAAAGCTTTTCAATTTATTATAGTATAGTTATAGTATTTCTTTTTGCGTACCGGTTTTGCTAAATCCAAACTGATTGCGATTGTCTTTTCGCAAACGGGGTAGGGTAGGGTAGGTAAGGTTTCCGTTTGATAGACGATCAATATATTGTTGACCCATATATACTTTATTATTTAGTTATCTTTCATATTCTAACGAATGTCCGAATTGTTATGTCAATAAACATCACATCACACATAGATGCTTATAAGTATGTTATGGTCAAAACATGATTTTGCCTGACAACCTCTTTTGCTGTCTGATATTCACACCCTATCAAAACCGACTCGTATGGAAAACATTCCAACACATATACGCGGCCCCAATTGTCACATCGCAAAATATATAATACACGATGTCCTCTTTCGTGTCGGTTATTGACATCGACAGACCCCTGTCATCGTCAGTATCCTGATTCATACGGTGAAATATTTTAGATGAGCGATCCGCACTTTATGGGAGTTTCATGTTAACGTTAGAATTATTATGCGGGTTTTCGAAACCCGTGACGCCGAGGTGTGGTGAACGAGCAAAGTTATAATAACTTGGTCCATCCCTTTGCCGTAATACACTATTGAAACACCATTGTGTTTTGATCTGAAACTGTTGAACTTTATTGTAATGATTATGAATATATTATATACAACTGTGTCATACATTTGTTTGTTTTATATAACGTGCCTTGACCACAGTTACCTCAGTGAATTGAATTTATCAATCATGCATAAACATCAGTCTCGTCACAAATTATAACAAATTATTATATACTAAACCGAATATTCCGTTCACCACTTGAACAATTGTACATTTTCTACATTTCGTCACATTTATGTGAATAATTATTTTTATTTATAATAATCGCTTGTACCGACATCGCACATATACATAAAGCGTAATATGTAACATCTAAGTTCGTTTAAAATAATGTGTATGGTTTATAAATTATGTAACAATGTTTCATACACTACACTTGCAGTAGACTTAGAGATTACCTTTTACATCAGAAACTTACATTACTCTCACTGTCCCATTGCAAAAATGGTGCAGATTATACATGACATTATAACACGTTTCAGATTCTAAACTTTTAGACCGATTTGAATAAAATTGTTTTTATATTTTATCAATACCTTTTTTGTCAATATTATGTTTTTATAATTGTCTTTGCTTATTCGGTCCTTCTGTATTCTGTTCTTGTAGAGAAAGGACCTATCATTTCTTTAGAAAAATACATTTTACAAAACAAAAAGACGTAGAAACGCGTCGCCTAGATACTATAATACAAAACGGGCACGGTTAGGTACTTGTAGAATCTGAGTCCAATTCAATTTCAAGAAAGCAATTCCAAACTCTTTTTCAATTTATATCTTATTATCTGTTTGATTTCTCTTATTGATACATCTTGAGATAGCAAGGCAGTGGAGAGGCAATGGAGTATTTATTATTTTCTTCAAATTTTCAGTTACCTATTTTCAATACTACTCTGTATCACACGCCTGCTAAATTAAAAGCTAGATACAATGATAATTCGAATTAAAACATTATACTAGTAATACCGTACTAGATAAGTGTCTTTTAATCGCATTGTGTATTTGTAAAGGATGCACCTATCTTAAAAAGCAAGCTACGATATTGGCAGTTAAGTTAACGGAGCTATTGTTCGCCGGAATCGACCCGGAGACAATCTTAGACCGTTTCTACGTTTTAAAAATCTTATCTTCACTGCAATGACTACTGTGCTCATCTAGAGCGTACTTTCAGCCTTTTTCTCCTTTTAATTAACAACTTCAACTTTTCTTCGTCTTGTGCTCATTGCGGTAATCATTCTTACTGCGAAGTAAATCTTAACAGAACTAATTTCCTCGCTGCAGTCAGCTAATAATATTCTATTGTTTCCAAGAATGATTATTTTATCTCTATTCACAATACAAACCTTATTAGGAGTTGGGAGTTGGGAAATAAAATCCTATTCGGAAGCGGGCAGTTCGCATTAACCTTTCGAGAAGGGAGGTCCACAGATCCACGGCCCGGTTACAAGCGGGTCATCTGCTAGTTAATATTCAAAGGGTCGCACAATCACGGATTCCGTACACGTTCCTCTTCTACCATCGCCTGGAAACGAGCGTTCGAATCTTCCCTCTTAGTTACCACATAGACCTCTATATTTTTTTTTGCAGTTTAACCTATTTACGAATTGAACTGATACATGACGATATAGCTACTATCGAATAAAAAACCAGGAAGTGCTAACATAATTAGCACACAGCGGTTATCGTATATATTTCGCAGTTAACAGTTACTCATTGTTGTTATATAAAAATGTGTTAAAATTCGTTTGTATGTAATTAAGAACTTTTGTATTATAGCCCCTATAATATATCAGTATTAAATGTATTAGACTATTTCGATATATATAACAGCGTTTTTCAGGATTAGCTTTTTGAAAGGAGATCTGCATAAAAGCAGAATATCCTCAGCTGGTTAATTGATTGCACGTAATAAATAATAATAATAGTAATAACTTACTTTAAAGAGGAATTCAATTTACTTAAAAAGCAATGTAAAATCTGTTTATTTTTTATTCGTGAGTTAATTTAATATTAAAATAATCATTAAACCAGGTATAAGTACATATAAACCTCTGCTATTTTAGTAGGTATAACACCTATTTAGTGAGTTTATTGTGTGGACTATATGGATTGTATTATGAAAACACCCTACACTACTGCAACGAAATAGTTTCAGCAAGACTTAACCACATTGAACCAGACTTAAATTATCCTTGACAACAACACATACTTGACTGTGGTTGTTAACATATCCGAAGTTAAATCAAATATAAACTTATCGTACATCCTATTTGTTAGTTTTAAAAAAGCAGTAATTACTTACAATTTATAAATCATTTATTTAACGTTAAAATTTAATGAATAATTTGTTACTAATGTATAAAAAGACCTACTATATTATGGTAAATTGTATTATAATACCTCTTCATGCCGTCCTCTAATACAGTATTTGTATGATATCTTTATTGAAAGTCGGTTTTGAAAATTATATTTATTTAAAATATTGGATATCGTTTATAATAATATATTCATTTATGTTGGGAGGTTGGAACTGGCCTCTGTAAATTCGGAAAATGGTGTAGCGCGCAGAAACAACGTTTCATTGTCCCTCCCAAATCGGATTTCACATTCATTACTTAACTTTTTGATCAAATTTAATTCAGAATTTTGAGGATCGCTCTTCCAATTTCACAGTTGAATGGATTTGTTTCGGGGCTGCAAAGAAGTGTTTCAATGTAAGCCTTCATTCAAATAACGCGAAGGTCGGATTTGTAGGAGCGGCCGACCGAAGTATTTCCGAGTCGACGGACTCAAAGATCTCCAAAGATAAATTTGTAGCTATATTGGTACATTATGCTATTATATTAACATTATTTGTTAATAATTATGTTTACCAGTTGAAATCTCTAAATGGGAGATATTTACTGGAAGAAATCGTGCCTGTTTGTTGAAGATTAAAATTGTTCTATTAATTTATATAAATATCAGTGCGTTATAAAAATAGTGGAATTCTGTACAAGTGTATATGTTCGGAAATCTGTTATAGCATAATAGTTTGCTATATAACTTTATTTATTTTGTAATTAATGAAATTACTACGGTTACGCATTTATCTATATTTTATGACTCGTGGACTACGACCTATCAGTTATAAATATTCTGTAAGTAAATATCATCTCTATAAACAGTTTTATTATCTGATCTAATAAAATTGGACGAGATTGGAACAATCCTGTCACGCACAGACAGGAATTACAACGACATATTACGGCTAACGATACGCAATGCACATTGAAGGAAAAACCACAGGGAATTCACAGTGGAAAGTTCAGTACAAACTAGCGGCCCGACCCGATTTCGTACGGATACATTATACACCTAAATATTCTTCAGGAATTACTGATTATGATTCAAAGTTTCTATTCGTAATTACATTTGTATTTAATTTATCTTATAGTACGGATTAACTGTTGCATCCTAGATTATGTTTGACAGATTTTTGACAAAGTAGGTATACTCATATGAAATATCCTAATTGATGATCAGGTCATTGTTTATAAAATTGGAAAATTCTCGATAATTAAGTTTATGTTTTTGTTTGTTGCAGATAATACAGATGAGCGCCGAAGCCGGTGCCACAACCCTGCCCAACGGATGCCGTGAGCTCTAGCACCGAGAGCGCACGACGTCGCCGTGATGAGCACAACCCGCCATAATGCGTCGGCGGCCATTTTAAACCGGAGACGAACGCGTTTGTCGGCTCGAGATGGCCGTCAGCCGCGGCTCCCACGCACCAGGCCATCCTGCGCACGCGCGCCCTCAAACCCCCCAGCACTATGAAATGTGGAAACATAGCAAGTGGCGAAAGAAAACGTCACCACCAAGGACAAACGTTGCTGTTAGGGTGCCCAGATAGAGACAGTGCACCGTGATATATATAGAGGCCTAAGTGTTACTGTTTTGTGTAAATATAGTGGTGTGTAAATGTTAAGTATGGGGGAGGTTAGAGGCTTGCGTACACCGCTGCTAGAGTGTGGTGGAGAATACGCCCACCAACACAAGGCGACGGCTCCACGGTGCTGCTTCTGGCTGGCCAGCCACGTCAACTTGAAGAAATGCGTCTTAGGCATCATGTTATTATCCGTCCTCACCAGTTTCTTCTATTCATATTACGTTACAGTGCCGTTCACGAGGTTAGTTATAAACTGTTATATTCTGTGATTTATTTATATTTACTAATATTATAAAGCTAAATATTTTGGTTTGTTGGTAGAACGCGCTAATGCCAGAAATTACTGGCTCAAATTTATAAATGATATATTAGTGTTCCTTAGCCTACTGAGGAAGCCAATATATAGGCTATATAACATCACCCTCCAACTAATAGGAGCAGTACACATCAATGAAAAATGGGAAAATTTATTCCTTTTATCTCTTTTTTTTATATGACGCAGATGAAATAGCCCGTGTCAGCTAGTCTAGAATATTCGTTAATAACAGCTTGTTCTGACTTCGACTTCGTTTTACGTCTGTTCAACCCATATAAATATTTCCGTGATTTAAAGTAAGCATATTTATCAATTCATTATGTATCTCCATAATGAATTGATAAATATGTAGTACTAAAGATATAGTATTACAGATAACTTAAACCATAACAACATTACTTAAACCAGAGTTCCCAGGAGCGCCAAAGCATGAATGGTATTTGATTTTCACATTGTATTATTAATTATTTATAACGTAACCAGTTTCAATAATGATAATAAAATAATGTTATTCACAACATTTACGTACACAAAATCAATGCTTATAATTTTGTGTACATAAATGCGGTCCGTATATTATGAATCAAATAGAGAAATATATTCATATTTAATTAAAATACTCCAACTGAAAATATGCACCATTCGCATAAAATTAAATTTACCTGCTATCACGAACGATTTGGCACAAATGCGCCGAGAATGCGAATTAATAATATGGAATTATTCCTCTCGGTCAGTGCCAATTCGTATTATCATTGGAATCTAGCACAATGCGTTTATGTTTGAATGTTATAGTGCAATTTGTTTAAATAACAATATCAGATGATTGAATACAACATATGTACATTTTCGATCCCATGGATGCTGTAAGAGACAACTAACAAAACAAAGCACAAGTATCTGTGCAAGAGAATGACAACTCGTAATAAAATTGTATGCCAAGCCATCTGGCCACCTTTGTTATAAAGGCTAAATGCTACTATATTATAAAGAGTGTGAAAAAATGATCGTTGTGTTATAATAAACCACTAGCTGACCCTCACAACTTTGTATATATCAATTTCCCTATTTTTGCTGTATTTCATTGCAACTCCGCTCTTATTGGTTAATGCTTGATGTTATGTAGCCTTTCTTGACAAATAGAGTATCACACACCCCGCAAACGTTGGAGTATCGGGGTTGTATGTATCTTAACAATTTATATTGTTGATACCAATCATAAAGAAATTAAAATAAACAATTTTGAACAAAAAATAAAAGTATAGTTTTTTAGAGGTATGAAAAATAGTTTACGTCTTATTGAATATAACTACCAACTTTCATTAGAATCGGTCAAGCTGTATCGGAGGATTTTTGTTCCAAACACACGCGAGAATTTTATATATTGGAGAGACAAAATAAAAATCATTTTTATTAATTTACAAATTAGTTTATATTGTATTAATTTTATCTTTATAATAATAGTAAGGTATATTCTCTTTTAAATTTCCTAGTGGAACGAACTACGGTCGGATTAATTTTTTTTTATAAAGTATCGGTTTTTCTGGGAAATCTTATAATATACAGAAAATTTAATATCAATACGTTGTATAAGTACTAATAGTAATTAATTCATAAAGTAGTTCCTGTAACGGTTAATGTGAGAGTTTGCATAGAAGGTGCGCGTCATTGTTTAACTTGGATTATTTTCCGTTGCGTCGACAGACAAATATTTCCCGCCATCTTTATTTATATAAAGATGGCGGAGCAGATGTAGTCTACAAATTCCCAGTAAAATTAATAATAAAGTTAATATACACGGGGAAAGACGCGCGATTCTTGTTGTATTCTATATGGAAGGTTACGCTTGTTTGTAAAGTAAAGACTTTTTCAGTTAGAAATAAATATTGAAGTAAAACAAAGCCACTTTTTATGAAAGCCTTGAGAGGCCTTAAAGGCAGAAAATAAAAAGTATTGGAGACCCAAGATGATGTTATTAAATTATAGCTTGCTTGCTGGAGTCTTTTCATAAGTTCGTTACTGATTTACTTGTTGATTAAACCTAAGAAATAAAATCTACATTTCTACCAACTATTTTTATTGCTTCACATTTATTGAAAGTGGACTTTAACAAGAAAACTAACACAAACTTAGTTGCAGCGTTTTCTGTTTTCTTTATTGGCATTGACAATTTTTATGGCATAGAAGCGAATATTTCACAGTAATTTATAACGTGACTTAATGTAATTACGGCGGATGTCGTGTAGTTAGAACGATAATATTTTATTTTATCGGCTTAAAATTACGCCACCAAGATGAGCGGTAGGGGCGGCAAGTTTCGCCGACTCAGTTGAATTTATAGCAAAACTTGTGTTCTGGCTAATTAATGGAAGCTGCTTCGTAAACGCGTAGAAAACTCGTTGATTTAATGGTGTATTGTTTTATTATCGTTTACCCCTAACTACTATAAAGTTTTACCTACTTATCTTCTAGTCTGATCTATTATCCGCTATATAGATTACATAATACTTTTAAAGATTCATTTGTAGGTAACAGAAACAGAGAGATATAATATAACAGAAAAAAATAAAAATGTATGTAGTGACTACAATAACAGAACATATAATAGTAATAGTTATTATTACTATTATATGTTCTGTTATTGTAGTCACTACATACATTTTTATTTTATTTAATTAAATGCGAATATCGCTTCTGTTATTAATATATTTAAATTAATACATTTTCATTGGCGATATATTAAATTAATTTAGGTAAATACAGTTAGTTAAAAATCCAAGATTGAGTAGGATGTTTAATACGTACTTCAATTTAACATTATTCAGTATTTAGATTAGTAAGCATCACTATGTTTCGTATTAGCACCACTGAAGTTTCCAATCTGTTGGTTCGGGCGTGGTTTTCATTAAAGCAAAGAGGCCACAAGTCTCAGCCGAGGCTCACAGGACCTCAGCCGCCTAAGGATAAATATTTTCACAAATTCCGGCTTTATTTATTTTACGCTATAGAGATAAACCTTAATGGCTCTTTGATGTGGCTCCAACTTGGAACGCAGCCTTAACTTTGGCAGTCTTTGATTGATTTTCTTCTGAATTTTGCTACGGTAGATAACTTAGTAGCCAATACACATTAAAATTTAATTACTTACCTGATTAAATAATATTGACCTTATAATCTTCTTTATACTTTCCTAAATTATGATCATTTTGTGGTAGATGCGTGTAGAATCTACTTATCAGAATTGATACTAAAACATCTCTGCAACATTTAATATCCTCATCTTGTTAGCCAACATCCATGAAAATCGTATGTGGTTTTAAAAAAATACTAACTATATGTTAGTTTTACTTTGATGTAGTAATTAAAAGTTTTGGGTTTAATATTGACTTTAAAAGGTAACGTCATAGGTACTTTTCTATACTTATATTATATAGAGGAATGATTGATTGTTTTGAATAGGCTCCGAAACTACTGGACCGATTTGAAAAATTCTTTTACCCACAGAATCCTACAAACTAATGACCATAAGCGATAGCATATTTAAAAAAGTCTGAGTCTAAAAGACTTCGATGATGTAAATCAACGTGTGAAAATAAATAATTCTGTTTCTGTATTTCTGTGTTGTTTAGTGCCATTCGGTGACTACTCTATTAATAGTGCGTCGTTCAAGATTAACGCGGACATACAGATTTTATTATATTTATATTTTTCGTACTATTCTTATATATATAGTGATGACCTAACACTTCACGACCTCCTTAATGCAGTGTTTGTTAGTAAAGATGTTTCGCTTCATATTATTAGTTAGTAACCAGGTTAGGAAACAAATTATTATTAATTAGTTCATATATACATTTCCAATGTTATTGAGAGGGCCATATGGGATGGTTATACTTATATAAGTTAAGCGAGAAAGTGTTTATATTTTTATTTACAACTTTAATTTTATATATTATTTTATATTGTTGCCGTTTATTCTAGTAGTTTGACCTTTCCCTCGCATAGTATGTAATCTATTCTAATAATAAAGTTGTCTGCTTATAGACTTATTTATACCGATCTATAATTATAATTATCTTTCTTAAAATAAAGTTAACATAAGAACTTGTGGATAGTATTTTTTTTTTTAATTCTTTATAGTACTTTAAATACATTATTATTTTCATTATAATTAATATGCACAAAGGAGGATATATTTCTAAAAGAGTCTTCCTGTCAACCCAATACAGCGTAGCATAAGAGGTGTTCAGTTGGTTAATATACGCAAATAAATAATTTATAAAAATGTCATAAATAATAAAAAATATAAATTAAGATACAAATTTATATATATATAATACAATATTTATTTCTACTGCTCATTCGGATTTAACAGTGTTACTTTTTTGCAGTCTGGTGTGGCGTGATCGTGTGCCTCGCCCTTTGGCACAGTGCTCACTGCTCGCCTCGCAGCAACAGCAAGCTGAGCGTGACCATCGCTCGGATGCACGTCTGCGCATCGATGCAAAAGTACTTGTCATCGTGGAGTCAGCCTACTCGAAACTTGGACGCGATATCGCCGAGCTGCTTGTCGCCAACCGTATACGGTTAGTCGTATTATAGGAAGTCTATAAAATAAAATATATGGAAAAAACCGATACCACAAACAGCGTGTTTGTGGTATTAAGGAATGTTACGAGGAAACACGGACGTTGAAATATTTGACAGTTGACGGCCCAAGTAGACACATCTCTTTACGAGGGCAGTCGAATCGCGTAAGTACATATTCTAGTTTAGGTGTAGGGAGACATATTATAGCTATGACTTTGTAAAGTATTTTATTTAAAGCAGTTTAGCTCTCTTAACTACGGGTTGAAATGAAATTTACTATAGTGATACCAATGGATACTATTTTTTATTTAACATATAATTATACATTTTTTACACATGTTAAATCTAGGTGAAAATTTTTGTTATAATATCATATACTTTGATGCTAATCGATTACTAGAGTTGGCGTTCTGCATGTAAAGATAAAAAAAAACATTTTTGTGATATCTGTGTTTGACACATTAAAATTATTTATTTTCAATTACGTTTATTAAATACACAAATGTGGATATTATATACAGCCGATAACTTTAGTAATTTTCAAAACTCTTAAAATCACATTTATATAGTACAGAAGATTTCGACTATCCTCACCGAAAGTTCTTTTGTTACATTATATGCATAAGTATCTATTAATTATTGAATTAAGGTTTCGAATACTTACAAGATACCTAATCTAATTATTATAATTTATCGGATCTTATCATACATAAAATGTAAACATTTCATACCATACATCGCTAGATATTTCGACAGTTGTACTTAGAACTCTCATAGCACCGCCAGACCAAAATCTCAGACGGACGGAATCCTTTGATGAATTCTCTACGTTAAAAAAACCCTTGGTTCCGAGCAGACTCGTGTAGCGATGACACTGTCATGTGTCATGACATGACATTGTCTGTGTATATACATGGGAATCAACTAGAACAATACAGACAATCATACTCATGTATACAAATGTTTGCATCGAGCGAGGAATTGAACCCGCGACCATCAGAAGTAAAATGTTGTACTGAATCGCTAGACCACCGAGCCCGTGGAGAACGAATAGATGTAATCTATTCGCTGTGATTTCGATTAGATCCTAATCGATTACGTCAAGTCTCCCTCTCACCCTCTCGTTACTGACTTTCGATATCTATAGACATTGATAGTATCATTGCAATTTAACGTCTTACCAACATTTTTTTTCAATTCAATTAACAGATTGGTATCACGCGAAGAAATTCGTCTATTTCGTGATGAATATTCCATTAGCAATTATTATGAAGAAAGCGCAAGCGATTTTAACGCTCGACTGGCAACACTAGAAATTAACGAATTTATAAAGTAAAACAACAGAAAATAAAAACGTGTATTTCTACCTTGTTATGAAATTTTTACAGTGTATTTCAATTACGGTTTCCAAGGAAATAGGTATCTGAAAATAACATTTCGCTTTAATAACTTTTTGCTTCTTAACCTATATATTGTAGTTGTATGTATGTAGTAACATTGAAGTAACTGGCTTCAATGTTATTTTATTTACTAAGATCAACATAGTGTGTTATGCCCATAATATAGTTTTTCAAAAATTATAGTTTTTTATTGTCAGGATTTTATTAGTCATTATAATATTTTCGATGGGTTAGGTAGTAAAAAATGAGCTCACAATATATTTGTTACCTCAAATGTTGCATGTATATATTATGTATGCAAAAGAAACATTTGATCTGAAGTATACATAGTTTAAAACTTATCTAAACATTATCGGGTTCATTTCACAGATGTTTATTACGAAGGCGTATTCGTATATTATTCGATCCCTTTGTTTATTTTTCTTTTCGGTCGAAAGCGAGACGATCGGTCGTGCTCGTTGACAGCTAATATGCGGACGAATTGATGTAGTGTCTGTGCTAAAGGATTGGGGTGGATCCTATCTTCTGTTGAATACATAGCTCCTTATACAACACAGGGGAGTTCTAATAAATAATTTTAGATTTGTTGCAACAAATATTCTCACTTCAGCTACATATTATACTTTAGGAACCGGTGACGCTACTTGTTTATTCCTCTCATTAGATTTCATTTTTCTCACACCATTTTGTGTGCATATTAATTTAAAATCAATTAACAATCAAGACAACAAATGTAGGCGATAATTTATTACTTAGTAGTAATATTTGTTTACCGTAATCACTCGGAAGTAATTTGTGTTTCAATAAACAAACGATACAAATATATAATTATCCTATTATTAATTTGTTTATGTATAGCTGCCAACTTCAAACACAGGTTTAGGTACATAAATCTATATATCTTCTATTATCAAGGCCGTTCGTACTGAACGTAATAAACTAAAAGAGTGATGGCCCCAGCCGTCTCGCGCTACGGTCTGAAAAGCGTCCTGTGTATTTGTCCCCGGTTTCCCCCCGATTGCGTCATGAGACTTTTTGCTCTTGTTCGGTTAAAAATCGGTTTCCTCTCGAGCCCAGTCAACGAAGCTACGCTTGTTCCTGAAATGTTTGACGACTGCGAGAATTAGTTTTCTTTCGTCATATTTTTTTGCTAGAGCGTTCTATTGAATGTGTATATAATATACTTACTGGCACACATTTGTTTTCATCACGTTTATTTGACTATTGTACTTATTTGGAAACAACTTTAATGACTAATCTATTGTATAATATTGTGTACTGCATTTTATTGGTTTTTTAATATGTTTATTTTTTATATATATTGGATTTAATTATATGGACCTACTGATCAACATATAAAAGTAAATTTGCAGTCTGCGTGGCACAATACATATTTTAATAATTTTGAAGCTAAATAATTAAAAGACAACTCAAATACATAATTTCTTATCATTACTTACGAAACATAAACTATACCTTTTGACTTTTCGTTAAATATTAACTCAACTTTTTAATTTAATCGTATCTGTAATCGTACGATCAAAAGTATCAAAAGGGAATAAATAGTCACAAAGAAAAACAAAAACTCGTACAATCCGTAACTGGCGGGGCAACTCCAAATATTTCCCAATTGTATTACGTACTCCAAGTGGCTAAGTATTCATAAAGTGGAAAGTTAACACAGTAATTGCATTTAATTTGCGAATCAGCGTAGAGGGGCAAGTCAGTCCCATAAGTGGCGAGGGTGGCGCTCAGTTCTCTTGATGAGGTACGGCCGCCTTTTGGACGAGCCCTACAATGTTAACTAGGTTGCGGCCCGCAGCAACATTTCTGTTTATTCTATTTTCTACCCACATTATTTTTGTTTATGTCGTTTTCTTACGAAATGTATGCTTATTATATTTTATAAACATCTTCAAAGGGGGCGACTGCATTTTACGTAGCGTTTATTTATGAATGAACCTGTTTTTTGCATTTTTTAAAAAAATCGTACGGATAAAAACTAGAAAGTTATCAAAGTGCAAATATTACATTCAAATTGTTAGATCGCATTTACTATTGTACAAGAAAAAGCTTGATTTTATTATCAGACCCGTAGAGGTACTAACTGCATAAATGCAAACCCACTTTGCTTGTTGAATTAATTAAAGATTCATATAAAAATTATAGTGCTGAGATGTGATTTGAAACTCTCAACAGGCAACGTTATAAATTATTCAGAAGCTCGGTTAAGTCCTGTACCGGTTAGAACTTAAATACAAAGGGATACATTTGTACCTGAAATGTGAATTATAGTAATTGAAATAGCATGAAGAAAGAAGGGTATGTATGTACGTCACTAACCTTTTATAATGCTTAATGGGGATAAATACATTAACAAGTTAACACTCGAATCTCTGGTTTACTAAACCTATTACCATAAGGACATTGAGAATATTATTTTTTTAACTAATAGTATTCCGCAGTGCTGTCCGCGTGGTATATTATACCTATGTTACTCACTGATGATGTATATTGACATAGATGATAGAATATTTAAATATTTTGTATTGTTCTTTTGGGTGTAGATATTACGTACACATACAAACAATGAAATATTTGCTCTTTATGATATATTATTAATGCAAATAAAAGGGATATATTAAAAAGTTGGAGATTATATAAAACATTAGTGAACCGGAGCAATTAGGGATTTCTATTTTTTTTAGATAAGCTATTTACTATCTATTAATATAATCTACTATGAAAATGTTTAAAATCTGTTATCTATTTCTATGAGTTATTTTTTATCCATGAAGTAATTTTCAATTTTTAATGTTTATTAGTTTAAGAATTTTGCATTGATAATAAAAATATACTTCATTCTCAAATTTGAGTCATAATAAATTTAATTTAATATTGTCGTCTAATCGTGCAGATATCTAAACTAAAAGCGCATACTATAGAAGATAAACTTATATGCGCTCATCTACTTTCCATAACTGTTTCCATTTGTCTCTAGAGATAAGTAGATAAACAACTTAGTTCCATCGGTTTTCTCTTAGCTACGTAAGCAAATAGACTTCCTTAAAACAAACAACTTCTGCTTACTCACTAGTAAATCGACTTCAGAGTTCACCATAAACATAAAACTCATTTAAAATTGGGATTCTGAACTGAAAATGTAGAACGGAATCTTTGTAGTGCGCCTTTGTCTGTTCGTCAGTCCTTTGCACATTTGAACAATAATACTAAAACTAATTATTATCAATTAGACTAGTTTTAAAAAGTAATAAAGTATTCTTTATTTGGTAAGAAGGGTCCGAAATTGATCTGTAAATTTGAAAGTGGTTGTATAATGAAGGAGACCTGTACATCCCCAAACATTAAAATGCCGCACGGAATTAAATTAAATAGTAAATATCCTTGAAAATATCCATTGTATGTCCTTGATTATGAGATACAATGGAATTACGATAAAGTAATCCGTAACATTGACCTTATCGATTTGTACTTACAATAAAAATAGAAAGTATTTGTAGCACTCTGGTCAGTTGTTTATAAAAATAAAGAAGCATTACTTCCGAGTTAAATTTTCTATCTACAGTATTTATTTCACTATTACCCTTGTTCCAATCGTGTTTTTACGTATCGACTTTATATACATAATAATAATGGCAAATGAATGAGCCATTATTAATTATTTTACATATTTATCAGCCAGTTTTTAATAAAACACTAACAATATATATAAATGACTAGTAGACCTGCGGAACTCCGTCTGCGTCACTAAAGATATAACATTTATGTAGCGCACACAACTCAAGCTCTCAAAGTAATATTTTCCCGATTCTACAATACTTTTCATTGATGTTTCGCTCCTTGTAATTGCAGAATCGTGTTTTTTTTATTGATGATAATGCTGTTTTCGTCTGCGCTAACGGTTTAGGCTGCCGGGGCACCAGCGGAGGATGATAAGAAGTGACACATAGTGTCAAATTCACCACCAATTTATCAGGTTGGTTTCCAAGCGGAATCATGAGAAGACCAACCTTACATGGTACTCGTACATTACTAGCAATGGGTTCATTAATCCGCATTAATAACAATCACATTCCCCCGTAGCATAATGTTGTGTCCTAAAGTTTTCCTACATAATAAAATTGGTTATCCAACACTGAAATTTCTTAGTTTAAACTTATATATACTAACGTAAATTTAGTATTTGATATCGCAAAAAAATATTACATTTGTAAAATACACATATTTGATATAAACTCGTTTTATACATTCTATTTCTGTAATATTATTGGAGACTTCTATCACATTATTTAATATTACTGGAATTTCTATCCATTCCTATACAAACCGACTGATGGATGACTGAAAATTAGAAATTGATTCTTAACTTAAAACTTCTTTATATAAAATGCATATTAAAGCTTATTTTATATAATAAACATTAAGAATCTATCCAATAAGGATATCACCAAAGTTATTCACTAAACATAATATTATATCAGTTTTATAAAAATATGAAAACTATTACATCCTCTATTAGTAAACATTCCAGTTTAACGTGTTAAATTGATATCGATTGCTTTATTAATATCTCGGCCCCCATTATAATTTACCTTGAGCTTGTAATGTCGTTTAATTAGCGTATAATTCAATAACACCATCGCATTTCACATAGCGAGACAGCAATGTAAACTTAATTAAATATAAAGCAAGGAAGGTGTAAGGTGACAGCTGGGCCGCGAGCGAGCGAACGATCGCGGTGCCGCACCGCCGTGCCGCCGCGCTCTACTCCACTCATCTACGCCAAGTCGTTGCGGTGACAGTTAGTTAGTTAGTAGTGCCATTAGAGCGTCCCGCGGCATCCCGCCCCCTATCTCGACGCCTAGTTCTCCATTAACGATCGTTTGTGTCAAAACGACTTAATTACTTCACATTAATTCATTTCTACTGACACAGTTTCGTTTAATCTTCACAAAGACACCATTAAAAAGCGGCCTCAGGTTAAAAACGCTTCCTGTGTACTATAAATTAGCCAAGACTTTTCTTTATGTCGTGGCTCGTGGCAATTTATTTCAATCCTACTTTGTAAGGCTGCTACTATACATTTACTAAAACGGCTGTTATAACACGTAATATCGTGGCTTCTCATTGCCCCCTCATTTACAGTGCTATCGGTTCTTAAAAACTGTCACAACAAACGGATGACATTGTTCCCCGCCCACACACGTGTAAGTACTAGTTTGTTTTGGAGTTTGATTGTTACGTCCACTTGACCCTTTTGTAATGTAAACGTTGGCGCCGTTTATTGCTCGTCGTAAACTCGGCTTTATAGTAGCCGAGAGAGAGCAAATCGCTTTTTTAATAGAGCACTAATGGATATTCTGTTGCTCAATACCCCGGAGGCAGCCACGGATAGACCCTTCATCAGTTATCAACCTAGTTTGTTGCGGTTTAATATAAACGCCTTATTTTTCAGAAAAGATAGATTGCGTTTATACCTTCAATACATTGCGGTATTGTGTTTGTGTGAAAAAATAAGAAAATAATAGAAACAATCTTATCTAATCAAATATAATATATTAATAAGTACTATTGAAAGGTTAGTAGAAATCAAATAATGTATTCCCAATAAAAATTCTTGCTGAAGTAAGAAAGTCTCATTGTTATACTTATCGTTAGAATAGTCGTATAGTCGTACATTCTACGTCGTTGCTGCCATTAGACCCACCCTTTACCGCCGCACAGGGTGGATACTTAGCTCTTCAAAAGTTTTGTGTTGTAACACTATTTACAGTATTTAGTTACTTACGACCCACGTCACCTTAACTCAAATATCCACCTACGACCGAAACTTAATTAGCAATGTCATGTATCAAACCATTGTGACCTTACCCCGAGGATAAATCGTAATACATTCTTAATTGGCCAAACACGAAGTTTGGTCCTAAGCTTAACGCATATGCAAAGTCATCGAAGTTTGCTCTGTGCCAAGATGAGTTGTACGGAGGGACAGATTAACTAATGGCTTCAACCACAACACAAGGTAGCTGAGCCGAAATCGCGATAACTGCTGTTATCACAAGGGGCGGCAGGTCATCCGGGTCGCATGTCGTGACATCACCCCCTACCATATTGAACTCGCTCGCGCTCCCTTCCCGAATTAAGCCTCGTCCTATTCGGTTCACGGTTAAAATAGGCCGTTTCGCGCGTTCTAATTTAAACCGGGCGTTCACTCGTTTAATGGCAGGACACTAATTAAGGTAATTAGAATATGTTAACGCAAAATACTAAAACAAAGCTTATTTGGTTAACATTTGAAATACGCAATTGGGTAACTCGTATTGCTAACAATCTACACTGATTTTATTGCTATACGGTATACAGTAGCAAGTCATAAAATAATCACGCGCTATCTTACAATTCTGTCTAGCTCTATAGTACATTAGGATGTGTATACTTTTTTCAGTGAAACAGCATTTTGTGTAATTTAATAAGTATATCTGCATAGAAACAGTAGAGTACAAATAATTTCACGGTTTGTATTGATAGGAGAGCCAATTCCTATTTCAATATACGAGTAGTTACACAAAGTTGCCAACGAGTGCACCGTACATTAGAGAGAGAAGCGGACCGGTACGGGTATGTAAATGCTATTTGCAAGTTACCGTTCGCCGTAGCCTGCGCCTCTAGTGCACTTGTGCTGCCAAATTGATACGAACCTTAACTGGAGCGAAATGGACGACTGTAAGTCGTTACTTTCATACCATTTCTTTCCGCAATCTATCAACGAGATTTTGATTCAGTATTTTTATGAAATTGATAATAGTCACGTCACCTATCACGTCGATTTAAACCCATAGATCATGAATTGAAGCCAACGGTAAAAAACTGGGTGTGTCAATTTATATTTCTGACTGACACTTCTGTGATGGAGACGGTATTTGTGTAACACGATTTTATGTGAGCAGCACTCGCCTTTTGCTATGTTGGATGTTAATATACCTAGAATAAGAACAATATATTTATTTTAAGACCTTTGTTTCCTGTGCTTCACAAATAAAGAAATTGAAAATTTGTCGAGTTCGTTCACAAAACATTGGCAGTTAACAAGGCTTTTGACTACTCCATCTTGGGTAACAGTCGTGATTGTATATTACTGTATTAAAAACGGCCCAAATAATCTAAAAACCGGATATTTAAGCGGAAAATTAGAAAGTATTCTAAAAGCGAATGTTTGGACAGTTTCAATTTTCGATATTGCCAATCAACTCAGGTCGTTTGTTCCCGTGTTTGAAAAGGGGAGACTATGGCTGTTGCTATTTAAATTGTACAATTTTATGACAAGGGTCGGCCGTCATTGCTTTGATTAGTATTTGGTTAAGGTTATTGCCTTGAATTTGAAGCGCCAATATTAAGACACCGTACTTTATTAAGTCGCGATTATTCAACGCAACTTTGTTGTACTTAGAAAAAATAATACATAAGATAGTCATTGTCAATTGTACAGTTGTACATACTGTACAATTACAAAGTAACAATCCCCTATTTGTCTATTTTAAATCCTATGTGGCAGTGGGCAGCCTATCACTGTCTCTTGATACAATTTCTTTATTTGTGGTTCCATCCCGAAGACTTAGTCAGAAACATAAATTAATACACAATGTTTTGTTGTCAGTCCGATGCGAACTTGCGACTTTACGGCTATGTCAATGACGACCAGATCAAAAATCTTACCTAAGTATGTAATTGTGCTGCGTAGAATGTTAAGTCAAGTAAGTAATTAGTAACACGTGCGAGTACGATTTCCTGCCTGTTCTCCGTCCTACATTTATATATATATATATATATATTAAAAAAAAATTATCTAACGTGTGTATCTAATTTGATGAATTTATATGATCTTAATATCCGTTGAGAATTCTACCAGCATTTCTTTGGAAACCTGAAACTATTCGAACTTGGATTCAATTAAAATTTCTTCACAACTCACCGGCAATGGTAAACACACATATGGACTACGTTTTACTTTCTTACGTTAAGAGAACATTTATTATGTATAATATCACTCCGAATCAGAAATTTTACTGATCTTCTCCACTGGTCACGTTGGTAGTTAAAAAATGCAAGATTCATATTGTTCAGAGTTTATTTCTATGTACATATTTGTTGTTGTATGCCATGTTAAATTACTCCTTATAAAAATTATGTTAAACTTTGTTTTACGTAAAATATTATAGAATTAAAAAGCATGTCCGTTTATTACCTTTTAACGATTAAACGATTGATCGTAGTTTAATGAAATTTACTGTAGATTTATCACGAGGACACACAAAGACAATTTTTTGTCACAAAAAAAACCGACGACATCGTGGGTTAGAGAAATACAAATAAAGTAAATAAATATTTTTTATCATAGGTACAAATTAGAAGTAGCGGGCAAGAGCCTGCCCGTGCTTACTACTTTGGACAAGGGGCGCTACGGTGTGATCGTGTTCGAATCTTTGTCCAAATATGCCAACATGGACAAATGGAATCGAGAACTACTCGACAAGTACTGCCGGGAATATTCCGTCGGCGTCGTGGGATTCGCGACTCCTGGAGAAGAAACGCTCGTTGGGGCGCAGCTTAAAGGATTCCCGCTCTTCATGCACACCAACCTTATGTTGAAGGTAATATCTTATGCTATATATAATTTTTCTGTACATTTTCTGTACTCTAACTGGTCTATAACGGGTGTTTGAAATTTTGTGTATACATTTCGATGGCCTCCTGTGATTTAAAACACAACTGGATCCAGTAGGTAGAGCTACTTTTACGACCATTACGTCGCCTGCCACGACCACTAGTGCATGGATAATATTACTAATGCTTAATATAAATAGCGTAACAAAAGTTCTTGTATATGTTAGGATAATAATCCGGTTTATAATAACAGGTATAATTCATAAATCACTACGAAACCGTCATCTATGGAAATTTATTTATAAAACAAATTCAATCATTTCTTACATAAATATAAATCTTCAGCAGACTAAATATGTGAATGAGGTCCTAATAAGGATAAAGATATCTATTTGTTATAAATAATAAGGCATGTACATGCCTTATTATATGATATATGTGGTTAATGTGTATACATTAACCACATATTTTTGATTAATATAAATAAGTCTATCTTTTATAATCGCAAACTTCTTGTGTATGTCAAATGCTTGATTGTAAGAGATAATGAATCAACAAATAGACCTCGAACAAGAAAACTTCATTTAAAATATTAAAGAATTAATAATTGAACTGAAAACATGTCAAACGGATTACGGCGAGATTCTTTAAGATAGATTAAAACAATACATAAATCCGCTAACTTAGTTTGACATGTTGGACCGATTGGCTCAATGAATCAGTCCTACGTTTACGGAAGCTTTATTACATAAATTGTGCCAAGAGCTATAGTGTATATTCTTCGATGTTCATTGTGTTGGTGTCATCAGAGTCACCAGAGATCGAACGTAATATAACAATAGAAATTAACTATTTTAGTCTATGGTCCATATATGTATGGTCTATATATTATTTGTAAAAATGTAATATATATGTTATTTGCTTATACATAAATACATTAGGTATACATATTCTACCATGAGAGCTTCGAATCCGCATACAATAGACTGAAGAAACTTACCTATTGAACTGCTCTCCTTTCGAACTGTTTTATTAATTTGAAAGAAAGTGACAAAGTACTCTAGTAATTAAGTAATGGAATATTCCAAAACTACACAAGCCAAGTTTCTTATACATTTTTCTCAGCAGAATCTCTGAGTGACAATATATCTATTGGTGCTTAAATTAAATTTATTTCAGTGAATACTACTTCTATTCAATATTTTTAGGTTATTTTATTGTATATTTTGTAAATAATGTTAATAATATGTAGGAAGCAACTTTAAACCCCTCGTCGCCGGTGCTACGGCTGGCGCGCGCCGGGGAGACGGCTTGGGGAGCGCTGCCCGGAGACCACTGGACCGTGTTCCGGGCTAACAGCACCACCTACGAACCGGTAGCCTGGGCGCTGCGCCAAAACGAATACGCCTCCACCGGTGAGCTTGATGCATAATGCACTTTTCTGACATTATACAGGTTTTTATGTGAAATCTATGCAGTCCACCAAAGTACTGGTCTAGCTCGAATGCTGAATGTTTTTGACATATAAAATATTTTTTGGGGTAAAAAAATATTTACGCTCCGTCGTTTAGTAAATATTTTTTTACGCCAAAAAGTAGTAGAGTGAACATAACGATAAATATTTTCTAAAAATAGAACTTTATATTTAAAACAATAAATAGAAATTTGATTTGATTACAATTTATACTGAGATGTCTTTAATTTCTTTTACATATGTTCTGTTAAAAAATGTATCATACGAATTTGTATTACTGAAGGTAAAATAGAACCTTGGGTTCTGTGAATTTTGTTGATTTCTCGTGGTTGTTTCCGCAATCAAGGAAATATACAGAACTACATATATGCTCTTTCGATAACAAATCGCTCGAAAATAATCTATAGGTACTCATCCATTCGAAAGTTTGCGGAAAATAAAAAAGAAAATCCAAAATGGCAAATATATAATAAAGTTCCATTATAAAAATCCTCAATTCATTTGTAAGATTGGATTGAAGATTTTTATAATGAACACTAGTAGTATTTAATTTTCTTACAATATAAACTAGTAATAGTAGTAAGTACAAAATAAATACGTAAAGAGTTTTTAATTCTTTATGTTGTCAGTTGTTTTAAGTGAGTGTACCAACGTAATAGCGTGGTATTTGAGTTTCCATTAAATAAGAGACCCTTTTAGCGGAATATATTCTCTTGTTGGCGCGCCAAAATTAGTGGACATCAGCTGAAAATCCTCCGGTTTTGCGTTCAAGTGGCAACTAGACTCGCGGTGAAAAAGCGTATTATGTTAAATGGCTGTACAAAAGCCGAGGTACGGGAAAATAACTATGCAGTATGGTAATACAAAATAAACTCTTTACTCACTTAGGTACTGTACTTGATTTTTATTTGTAGAGTTAAGTATTTACTATTGATGTATTTTTTAGCCACACTGCAGTGATCGTAGGAAAAGGGAATTAAGGAACTCACCCAAATTGCACAAATTATAATATTGATGATCTGCGTCGGCGACTTGAAGCACTTGAAGTTTTCAGTTACAATACACCACACTCGCGACACAAATACAGTTTGTTATAATATTTAAGGAGCTCCTTGATTAATTAAAATTGATGCATGCGGTGGTTGTTTCACTTGTTAGATGGCGGCGAATAATGAATTGTCCATATTGTGCCGGGGAAAGGGGGGCGGGAAAAAGCAGTGTGGCGGCTTACCAACCTATTATTATTATTTTTTTTTTTTTTTTTTATGGATTTAGAAGACGCGCGAACATTCTCCCGGCCTTGAGAATACGTAGTATTTTCAATAAGAGTTAGAGAAATAACGGAATGAAATTAAATGATACTATACTAATATTTATATGTTGTTTATTAACTATGGAATTTTTGTTAAGTTGGGTTATTGAGACGGTAAAGAACAAAGTTTTACAACGGGACGTTTGTACGAACCACTACATGTTTTTACTAGCGCGACACGTACTTTGCCGTCTGATCCAGGATATGTTTCAGTAATAACGCCCAAGGGCCAACGTAACGGAGGTACATCATCTTGATGCACTAATACTACAGTACCGGGTTTTACATTCTCATTATTAACAAGCCACTTCTGTCGCACTTGTAAATTATTAAGATATTCTAAACGCCACCTTTTCCAATAGCTTCTAACCATGTGATCAAGTAGCTGTTTACGTTGTCTAATACTTCGAGTATCTTCGGATACGCGTTCAATTGGCAAGTACGAAAGAGGAGATGCCATAATGAAATGTGCAGGAGTTAGTGGTTCTGGAAATGGCTCCTCAGTGAGTACACAAAGAGGCCTTGAATTTAAAATTGTCTCAATTTGCGTTAATACTGTTAATAGTTCTTCGTACGTGAGTAATTGAGAACCGATAGTACGAAATAGATGATTCTTTATATTTTTAATATTTGATTCCCACGCACCTCCAAAGTGAGGTGCGCGGGGAGGGATCATATGCCATTCGATACGATGGCTAAGTACTAAAGTTTGAAGTTGAGCCTTTGCTCCAACAAAATTTGTTCCATTATCGGAATAAAGATATGAAACAGGTCCGCGTCGAGATATGAAGCGTTTAAAAGCAGAAATAAAGATATCGGACGATAGGTCTGTGGCTAACTCAATGTGTACAGCCTTTGTTACTAGACAAATGAATAAACAAATGTATGCCTTTTGAGATCTTTGGCCGCGACGCCTACATAGAGTTATACTTATAGGTCCAGCGTAATCCACACCGGTATGCACAAAAGCTTTCGTTTCACGCACGCGGTACGAAGGTAAATCTGCCATTTTTGGCGTCTTACTAGATGGAGAAGCTTTAAAGCATTTGTTACAAGAGTGAACTCTTTGTTTAATTACACTTCTAGCTGATAAAATCCAATATTTTTGGCGTAACAATGAAGTTAATAATGACGCACCAGTGTGACAGTGCACGTGGTGATAATAATCTATAATCAAATGAGTAATATGATCGTGTTTAGGTAACAATGCAGGATGTTGAGCTTCAAAGGGTAAGTTACTATTAGATAATCTTCCTCCTACTCTTATAAGTCCATTATCATCAATAAATGGATCCAGTTTACGAAATTGAGAAGAAGGTAAATTGTTTTTCTTTAAATCATAAAAAAGCGATTGAAAATATAACTTTTGCACTTCACGAATAATATACATTTCTGATACATTAATATGGGAAGACATGACGCGGGGGCTACTTGGTATTAATTTTACAAATTTAAGAATATACGAAATAATACGTAATATTTTATTCCAGGAGGAGAACTTCAGCGCCATTTGGTATATTATAGAAGCGGGAGTAGACGTCGTACAGGTAAGTGTTTTATTTTTTATTTCAGGTAACTGTTCACATGCTACAGATTTGAATGGTGATACTGGCCATTCGGCGACGGGTCGCTGTAACCAAGCGGGGCCATGCCACCATAATGAGTGACATATCAACTGATCAGGTAATAAACCTCTAGACAGGCAATCACTAGGATTCTCTGTCGTATTTACGTAATAGAAATGACAAGGGTCTAGATTTTCTTGACATTTAGCGATGCGGTTACTTACAAAAATGTTCCATCTGTGTGGTGATGAATTAATCCACGAAAGTGCTATTTTTGAATCGGAAAATGCATACGTATTATTAATATTAATGCGTGTACGATACGTTTCTGACACTAATTTTACCAATTTTGACATTAATACAGCGGCACATAATTCCAGCCTAGCAAGAGTTACAATTTTGATGGGCGCGACTTTAGATTTAGCGCATACTAAAGCAACGTGCACAATGCCTGCAGCATCTGTGACGTGTAGGTATACTACGCAACCGTACGCCTTCATACTGGCGTCCGCGAAAGCGACTATATTAGTACTACAACCATTTTCTACCTTTACATGTCTAGGAATTTTTAAAGAAGAGAGATGATGTAATTGCTGTTTAAAATTAAGAAAATGGTTTTGTATGTCTATTGGTGGTGAGTCATCCCATCCAATCCGTTGGACCCACAAGTCTTTTATTAAAAGTTTAGCAAAAAGGATAACGGGCGCAGCGAATCCCAGAACGTCCCATAAGCGAGCAATAGCGGAAAGGATAGTACGTTTAGTACATTTATTGTCCAAGGGACATGTTGAAAAAGTAAATTCGTCTTCTAAGGGCAGCCATTTCAACCCGAGTATTTTTAAATTATCATCATTTACAAAATTAATAGCGGCGCGTTTACATTCAGGTACCGTAGATAGTAGTTCTACAGAGTTACTAGCCCATTTAGTAAGATGGAAACCCCCTTTTTTGAATAAGTCAATGAGTTCACGTGACAACGCCACCCCCTCCTCGAGCGTCGGAACGGAGGTAGCTAAATCATCAGTATACAGTTCATGAGTAGCTATAACTGCTGCTCGCGGATACACTCCCTTCTCGTCCTCCGCCAACTGCCTGACAGTACGCATGGCTAGGAACGGGCTGCATCTGAGACCGAATGCGACTCGATTAAATTGAAACTCGCGAATGGGTTCTGTAGAATTAAAACGGTACAATATTTTTTGATATTTTCTATGTTCTTGTTTTACCTCAATTCTTAAATACATTTGTTTAATGTCTGCTGTTAGTGCAATGGGAAATAAGCGAAAATTTAATAAGAGAATGAATATATCTGCCTGTAAATTGGGTCCCGTATGTAATACGTCATTTAAGGATATATTATTATGACATTTAGCGCTTGCGTCGAGAACTACGCGTACTTTCGTGGTAGTTTTATCGTTCCTAATGACGGGGTGATGTGGTATGTAATACCCTTTACCGTATTCGTTACTGGTGGGTGGAACCTCGGACAGGTAATCGTTACGGAGATAATCTTGTATGATTTCATTATAACTGACACGAAGACTTGGATCTTTTAATTTACGTTCCAGTGAGAATAAGCGGCGAGTAGCTACAGAACGGGAATCACCCAATATAGCTGGATCCCTAGAAAATGGGAGCGCGGTACAATATTTACCTGAGGAATCACGTGACACTGTGTCACAGTATATCTGTTCACACTCTTTTTCTTCCGGACTCATGAATTTATTTGAAGGAATTTCTTCAAGTTCCCAGAATTTGCATAATGTTTTATCTAAGTAATCATTTTCGTTATCATGTTCGGAATATACAAGAAATGTTGAAGAAGCGGGTTTCGTATTGGAGTCAACGACTGAAGGTGTGTCTCCCATTAAAATGTATCCAAATACGGTTTCCAGAGCGGCTGGCGCGGGAGGTGCAATAATTTTACCACCTAATAGTAAATATGGGAATAATTGAGCCCCAATTACAAGCTCAATCTGTCCAGGCGTATGCCAGAGTGGATCAGCAAGCGGTATATTTAATAAATTATCAATAATCGTCATATCTACTAAACCGGAAGGCATGTTATCCGTTATGACATCGACGACAAGCGCATCAATAGTATATGTATATAAATTATCTCTCGAAGAAATACAGAGCGGAACCCAACCGCGAACGGTTTGCGAAGCGGACCCTATACCTTTAATAGTAGAATGCGTGTTAAGTGCAATTGGTTTTAAATTAAGCCGTTTACAACAAGCAGTTGTCACTATATGATTTTGTGACGCGTTATCAATAAGGCATCTAATATTCGATCTTTGTTTATAGTAATTTAAGACAGTTACTTGCGCCGTGCTAAGCAATATTGTATTGTTGTTATTAATAACATGCGCGCGAGCACACAATGATACCTGACTCGCTGGGGTCAGCTGTGCCGCGACTTGAGCGGTTTGTGCCCTCGCCCCCTCCCCCGCCGCCGGCGGTGGCGGCGGCGTCGGGCAATTGCATGAGGTTAGAGCAGGCACGTCAACAGAATTGACGGTTGACGCGGTGACTAATGCGTGCGAGCAGGACGGCGGCGCGGAGGATTTTCGATTATTATTAAATTTATTGTTTACAATATTATTATTATGTAATAATGTGTGATGTTGTTTATTACACATTTTACAATGCTGCGATGAATTACAACGCGATACAGTATGTGACATGCTCAAGCAATTTATACATGCACGTTTATTTTTAATAAAATCGAAACGTTGTTCGGTTGGAAGCGATTTGAAAAAGGAACATTGATATAATTGCAAGTGATCACCACTATTGCACATTGAACAACATTCATTATTGTCGTGGGATAGCAAAGCTTTCGAGTTGTGGACTGTATTATTACGCGGGCTAGCTACGATAGGAAAAACCGTAGGACGGGTGCTGGTACGATCTAATATTTTTACTTGACTTTTAATAAAATCTACAAACTCCGAATAAGTAGGAATATCTTTATCTCTAATTGACATTTCGAATGCGTGTGCTGTTACAGAATCTATTTTTCTTAAGGCAATCGTTAATAATATGAAATCTTTAAGATCACCAATTTTTAATTGTTCTAAGGCTGACACTGCGGCGTTGAAGGATTCGATAAAGGAATTAAGCGCAACAGAATTATTAATAGCGGGTTTAATATTCAATAAAATGGACATATAATGAGAGCCTAATGCTCGTTGGTCTTGGTACTTATCAACTAAACTTTGCCAAATGCTGGCGTAGTTTTCTCCGGCTGGTACTATCCCAGTCGTTAGTCTTAAAGCGGGGCCTGACAATTTACCTATCAGATAATGTATCTTTTGGGAATCAGATAAACTTTTGTTATCATGGATATTAGCTTTAAAACATTCATAGAAGCTTGGCCAGGAATCCAATCGGCCATCAAATGATTTAAGATCAATAGGTGGAAGGGGTATAGTAGACCTGACATTCTGGGTTTGCATACGAGAACTCTGCGACTGCGATTGCATTAACTGAGAACGAACTCTCTGAATGCGTGTGTAAATATCTTCAAACGCATTAAGTTGGGAATAGTTGGGTACATACGAAGAATCATCATCAATTTTGTATTGATTTATCATATCTAAATTAGCAATAAATTCATCACGAATTACTGACAATGTCTCCGTATCCGCCATGAACGCCTCCGTAGAACGAAGTTCGGGACTAGAAATATTTATCTTTTTTGCGCAATCATGCAGCCTATTTATACGTTGAAAAGTGCAATTAATTTTAGCAACTAAAACAGTGACCTTAGAACTCATTTTTAAAGATGGCGAATAGCTTTATTTAATTATAAATTAATTGAAGGGCAGTTATAAGTACTCAATAACTAAATTACCTGTAAATAATAGGTACACAGGTGCGGCTTGTTACTATGCAATATAGAACATCGATATCTATTCGTATTACACAAATAACACGTTATTTAAGTTAAATAAGTATCGTTTTAAAAAATAATGCGAATGTAGACATGAAATAGGTTTGTAAATAATTAATTATATTTACGCGGTTGTACGAAGTTTGTGTATTTTAAGCGGTTTGATATTACGATGTTTCGTATTAAGCGATTATACGAATAGCAGTAGAAATGTATTATTATAGCGGAAGCGAATAGAAAAAAATAGAATATCACGATCACGTGCAATTAGCGATAGGTTTCAAAATGGCGAATGCCGTGCGCTAGCGACGACAATTGTTTTGAACGCGTTTGTAGGTTTTTAATGCTAATACAATGCGATGACGGAATATATATATAGAAAAACGCGTTCTGGATCAGTTTTACAGGAATCCGGTTCGATTGGTACCATAAAATGATGTATTTTTTAGCCACACTGCAGTGATCGTAGGAAAAGGGAATTAAGGAACTCACCCAAATTGCACAAATTATAATATTGATGATCTGCGTCGGCGACTTGAAGCACTTGAGGTTTCCAATAACAATACACCACACTCGCGACACAAATACAGTTTGTTATAATATTTAAGGAGCTCCTTGATTAATTAAAATTGATGCATGCGGTGGTTGTTTCACTTGTTAGATGGCGGCGAATAATGAATTGTCCATATTGTGCCGGGGAAAGGGGGCGGGAAAAAGCAGTGTGGCGGCTTACCAACCTATTATTATTATTTTTTTTTTTTTTTATGGATTTAGAAGACGCGCGAACAACTATTTTCTACTGACAATGCGAAAACACTATTGTTTATTATATTGACATTTACAATAAGTAAATTTTGTAGTAGAAAAAAGAAACCGACTACAAATTCGACAATAATTGTGAAAGGAATCATAGAAAATTCGAATATGACGAAAGTATCGCGTAATATACACAATAAGAATACCGTGAAATTGAGAACGTATCCCTTTTCATAATACATTTCTGTTATAATTAAATAATTGGATTCATTCATTTAGTCTCAAGCGGTATTATGGTCACTAGAAAAGTGATAAACATTTGAATATACTTTTTATTTACATTAATATACGTTAAAACAATCAAACAGATATATATAAACATAAACACAATTGTTTGTATTGAACGAGGATCGAACCCGCGAGTAGCAATGCTGCCGTATAAAAATGTGATATGCTAAACTGGCGGTCTGCTTGACCACCGGACTAATCAATTAGTTGTGTAACTGGTAAATGATCTATAAAATTTTATGTTTCATTAAAAATTGCTACATTATTAACTAAATGTAAAATGGTGATTATATATAAGCTATAAGGAAAACTACATACGAACTCTTCAGTAATTGTAGTAAATAAGCGCGAGTAATCGGTAGATTTAGCAACTAAAACCCATTCTAGACTGCGTTGTTACGAAGTTACACAGACTACTGACTGCATACAGATCACAAAGGTTTCTTCAGAAGTAACGTCAAACTTTGTTGCAATCCCATTACAACTCTGTCGTATTTAACTAATTAAAAAAGCATATACTAATTAATATGTTTATAAATGCAAAAGTAAAGTTATAAAATATGTCTCTTAAATAATAAAAGAATACTCAAATAGTATAATATACGTAGATAATATAACAGAACAATAAAAGAATCATACATGAACATAAATATTCGACCGTGCGAGGAATGTAACTTGCAATCATTGTAAGTAAGTTTTCCATTTTTCATGATCATCAATTCACATTAACGAAGCTATTTAATGAATAATTAGCTTAATAAAACAGTTTTATTTATTGCTTTCAGTTAGATATATAAAAAATATAGTACGTTAAAAGATCCCCGCTTTTCATTCTGTACGAACCTAATCTTGCGATGACAACCCGACCCGTGGTTACATCGGTCCGGTTTAAAATTACGTGCCACTTAATTTTAATTACGCTAACTGATCCTATTATCTGAATTTCATCCCAATTTACTGGACGTGTACATTGCGAGAAGTTTTATCTTATTTTCACTCGACTTTAGAAGAGGCGGCGCCGCGGAAAGTTTGTGGGTATTTCAAGTGTTGTGTTTAGTACAATGTCGACAGTTAACATTAGCTCTGACTACTACCTGACTACTCCGTTTGGTATTACATTACTTGACTATAATGTCGCCAAACAGCTTGCTTAGTAAGCTGTGTCTTGGTTGAAAGATGGGAGATATGATACTGAATTACAGCATAAGGAGGCATAACATCTTAGTATTTCTGAATGGGTACATATAAGAGGTATTACGGACGTCACATGAAAACGTGATGTCCTTGTGACTTATATGTATACGAGTATATTTACCGTAGAAATACATAAAACAATACTTTAGTCTGTCGTGTACAAAGTAATATTTAGTTTCAGCATGTTTTACGTACTTGGTTTTAATTTGTTGTCATTTGTACACAGAAGAGCGCATGCCACTAGCAACCGTGATCCAAGACCACGGTCGGCTGGATGGTGTACAGCGGGTGCTATTCGGATCGGGGCTCCAATTTTGGCTGCACCGGCTGCTGTTCCTCGACGCCTTAAGTTATCTCAGCCACGGGCAGCTCAGTCTCAGTCTAGAGAGGTGGATCCTCGTCGATATTGATGACATCTTTGTTGGCGAAAGAGGTACCACTTTAGTTATTTATATAGATACTTCTGCCTGATTTATTAACCTATTTTATTCATTGGACTGTTTTATTACAAACTATGTTTATCTTTCGAAGTAAGAAGTATCATTTGAAAAGAAAGAAATAGACAGTCAGTCATATAAAAATCTGGCTGTCTTATGTTAACCTATTTTATTTAAATGTCTTATTAACCTATTTTATTTATAGAACCGTTTTCTTACGACCTATTTTCTTCATTTGAAAGATAGTGATAGTTAAAATGGGTTTATAAAAGCTTTTAGTTATTGTGAATAAGATTGTTAATGTTTGAACACATTAGTACTTTGCTACATTTGTTTTCTGATAATTTAAAAGTATTTTTAACGTTTTAATTACTGCTTCTGTGGTATTAATGTTAGTGAACAAAAAGGTTTATGTACGCTTTTAAAAGTTGACCCGTCTATATTTATTTCATACCGTCATAACTTTCACGATTAAGATTCCATTATATTCATTAATGTACATCCATCAAGTTGATTAGTTGCAAAGATCCAAAAACACGTACACCCTATGTCTTAGGCTATTGCGTAAAACTGAGATCTGGGTTTGAATTATTGTGTTATTACAATTTTGTTGTGAACAGAGCCTCTTATACTAAATTTTATTGTTTAATAACATTTAAAGAATGATTCATGATGAGACGCCACTCACACAGTAACAGAAATAAGGGGAGGTGGCACGGTTTGTAATAAAACAGCCCCTACCCACTTAATTTTTTCCCGCAACAATGCTTTGAACATTCATCACACCCTTCGGACGCCTGTAATGCCAAATTGTGTCTTATATTGTTTATATAAATGTAATATGTAATTAGATATTAGAATACTCGGTTTCTTTTTTGTTATCTAAATGGAATGGGAAACTAATTGATGGCCGTAGTAGCCCTTATGTGTTGTTATTATAGAGGTTTAATATGTCGTGAAAGTTTAATTTATATATTATTAGGTTTTCTTTACTTCCTAGATATAGGAATAGGAAAGTTGCTTTTCTAATCCTGAAAATCGACCTCGTTCATATGTTAAATATATTTTCTAAAAATTCCATATGTATTGATTAGGTACACGTCTTCATGAAGAGGACGTGGCAGCATTGTTAGCATCACAGGCAGCGCTACAGAGGCTGGTACCAGGATTCCGCTTCAACTTAGGATTCAGCGCCAAGTACTACCACCACGGCACCACACTTGAGAATCGTGGAGACGACGCGTTACTGAAAAACAGAGAACACTTTACATGGTATGTTCAATTTCTAAGTACTAGTGATCGCCCAGTGGTCGAAAATCGACTAATTAATTTGACATTCAGTAGCATTATAGCGCATAGATATGCGTGCGTGATATGCGTGTATATGTAAAATACATGGAAGTGTGTGTAATGTTATTACATTGATTTCATGTATTTTTAATGCTAATAATAATTTATATTATTAATAATTTATTTGACAGCCTCGGTGGTCTAATGGTTTAGCACACCGCTTTACTATCCGATGGTCGTGGATTCGATTCCTCGCACGGTACAAACATTTGCATTCATGAGTATGATTGTTTGTATCGCTCTGGGTGTTTTCTATGTATAATATGTATTTATTTACAAAAAAATGTATCCATGTAATTATCAGTTGTCTAGTGCTCATAACACAAGCTCTGCTTAGCTTGGGACTAGATGGCGCTGTGTGAATTGTCCTGAAATATTATTATTATTATATATTATCTTGTAGCTGATTTAAGCAATATCTACTTAAATACAGTCTATTTTATTCAAAACCAGTTAGGACTGTACTCCCTATTTAGATTATATAATTTAAATATATAGCTACTGAAATAGATGTCTTAAAATCTGGTTACGATAGAACTTGTAACGTTGGTATAAAAAGTTTTCTTTCCTTCTATTTTATAAAAAAATACATTAACATTTATGTATTTATAACAGAGAAATCCAACGAAGTATTCATTTTATGTAAGACTTTGTTATCAACTTCATATTATCTATATATAGAAAATTGTCTGTCACAACTGATGAATCCTGCAATGCCCTTTGTATATTTTGTATATCTTTATTACAAAAAAAGCTTCCAGTTAATTGGTAGACCATTTACATTGTAAACTGGAAACATTGGCTCGTTGTTTGTTAATTAGATTTGTTTATTTGAAAATATATATAATGCAATATACTTAGCGCATATGAAAATGTAACCGCAAGTTGTGTTGCTTCAAGTGGTTTAAATATAGTTCTGGGTATGCGTTTCGTGTCGACTGTTTTTCAAATAGTTTTTTATAGCCATAATCGATAGATGAAAGACTTATTAATATAATTTAAGATATTATATATAATAATAATAAGACCTACATACTACATGTGTGTCTAAGAAACTAAATTATTTTGTTTTTCGAATAAAAAAATCATTACATTCGAAAAACTTATTTAGTTATTCTAATGTAATGATATTTTACCGGAGGTTTCTACGTGACTGTCCATTTTTATCTGATTTAAATACTGTCTTTGGGAAATGTAATAAAAAGGAAAATACAATTATTCTTGAGTATATTTGAGGTTGGATAATTAGATATATTAAATTAGTACAGTTTACTTCAATTACCACGTTGGATTGAAATGTACCCAAATTAATGTGGACATGTCAAATGTATTCGTGATATCCGCAATTAACAATACCTCTAACTGGGGGGTAGCAGTTTGGTAATACAGTCGTGACGCTATAATTGTTATTCATTTATTTTACTTCAATAATCAAATTATAAACAAGTACTATTTACTCAACTCAAGTTCGGCTGAATGACTTTCTAGTGGAAAATATTAGAACTATTTATCCACAAAAAATGTACTACCAACACATTCATAATGTAACAACTCAACTCTGACCTTTATCCTTGTCCATTTTTTATGAACTTCACCTACCGAACGAAATAATGCCAAAAAACATGACGACACGTCCCGACGCACCACTGAACTTTGGTTATTTATTTTTGAATTGGCCCAACGTTAACAAACCCACTTGTTAGTTTGCTGAACTATAATCTACTGTCCGAATGGCGTTTTAGAATCGACATTTATTTTATATACAAGCTGTTACCCACGGCTTCGTCTGCTATTTTTAGATAATGCTAGCTGTCGCGACTAACTTTTTTTTGCCATATAATTTTAGTTTTTAAAATATGGTATTTATGTTTGCATGATTTTTTTAATTTATCAAAATATAAAAAAAATGTCAAACAATAATAAAAAATATTGGATGTTACAACCCTTATCATTTAGGGGTATGAAAAATAGACAGTGGCTGATTCTCAGACATACTGGATATGCATACAAAATTTGATAAAAGCCGTTTCGGAAAAGTATGGTAACTAACGTTGTGATACAATTTTATATATAAGATAGAACCTATGTCCGTCCTCGTGTTACAACCTATCTTCACACCAAATTTCATTAAGATCCGTTTGGTCGTGAAAAAGTTGGGAAAGGACAGACTGACAGATATAGTTTCGAATTTATAAGATCAGTATCGGTATACTATAAAATTATTGCTATATATTATATATAGTATGTTGTTTGGCAATACTTGGAAATTGAGTGAAGTATAGGCATTTAGTTTACGAGACCACAAACAGCAATGTACTTATTCGGAGCCAAGATTTATTACATAGATATATTTTAGTACTTTGAATTATATTACAAGGCAAAGGGCTCTGAATTATCTGTTACAAGCTTTGTTGACCGATATTCTTTTATATCTGTAGGTAACTTTATTAATATAGCTGGCTTGTTTATCGTATTATTCCTTACCTTATTCCAGCCGGATTAGGACATAAAATACATTCAAAATTTAAAAATCAATTATTCATGTTATGTGTTCACATTTTAATAATTAACAGGTTTGATCTACATCTCTTAATGCATTGTATTTATAAATACATTCATAAATAACCATATGCCATTTATCACATTGATTTTTATTTAATATTTGAAACACAAAATGTAAATTTGTATTTAATAATAAATTTAAATCATTTATTTTACTAACTTTATGAGCGAAATAGCAAATATAATATGCAAAAAAATAACGATATTTGAATTTACAACAAATATCGATATTTATTGGTAGAGTAATTTGCTTTTTTCACTGAGGTGTGTTAAAATAAAATGACTTTTACGACTATATCTGGGGCAAATATATAATTGCGTTCTGTTCCTTATTGCCAGTTATAAAAATTCTCTTCCACAGATTATAAAACAATTATTTTGTAAGTAATTTATATATCTAATAAATTTATTACAGAAGATTATGTTTTGGTTTATCTTACCAGGTTTTGCCACATGTGGAATCATCAACAGCCGCATCTTTACAACAATGTATCCCAACTAGAAGCGGAGATGATGTTAAACAAACAATTCGCAATCGAGCACGGCATTCCGACCAATTCCTGTTACTCAGTTTCACCTCATCATTCAGGAGTGTATCCGGTACACGAACCTCTGTTTGAAGCCTGGAGAAAAGTATGGGACGTTAAGGTGACGAGCACAGAAGAATACCCCCATTTGAGACCCGCAAGGTTAGTGAATGTGGCTTTTTCGTCATTACTTTATTTTATGCTAAATCTTGTACGAAATTTAAATTACATGTTCCATATGTACCGTAGTTGAACCATACTTATTAAAATTATTATAATATATAGCTTATAACAGTCTACTGCGTCTTTTTATTTGGTGTACACAAACTATTAAAAAAATAATAACGCACGAAATCACAATCGCGTGATCGACTTTTAACTGCTATCTTCGGTCTACATATTTAGTAATATCTCTTTAATTGTATTATAATATTTACTTAATTTCCTATATATTACCCAAAACCTGTTCATCGCAGATTTCATGATTAGGTAGTAAGTACATTCTTAGAATACTATGTATTATTTATATATAATGAGTATTGATGTAGATAATTTCATAGGGTAACAAAAGAAATACAACCGAATGATAAATACATGGAAAAAGAGGTTATTTAAACTTTTTCTATTCCACATCGGTTGGAAAAGTGCCAATTAAGTACTAAAACAAAACAAACACAATATCGACATGCGATACACATAACCGTATCATAGTACTAATGATCGCAATAAGTGTCCTTGTTGCCGAAACTGTTTGCGGTAACAGCGTTGCGGCCAAAACTCCTATTGACCGCGAATGTTACGTTGCGGCACAACATCCGACCGCACCTCTCGATACCGAACACCGATAATGAAATTCCAATAATTGTACGTACACTATGCACATGCAGATATCGCTTTAAATGGAATTCAGCTATTTGTTCCAATGTTTAGTAGTTCACAAAACGCAACGAACTATTCTCATTTACTATGTTCCGAACTTATATTGTGAAGAGAAAATTTGTTTGTTCCGGTCTCAAACGAAAGCGTTTACACAACGATTTGTAACACGTTTGAGAAAATACATTTAAAGGCTAGTGTCACAGCGAGTGTTCGTATAATAATTTAAAATATAATAATATAAATATTATTTGAAAATTATAGGCGGATTGCTTCATTGTAAAAGGTTCATCGAGAGGGTTAGATCCGTTAAACCTTATTTATACAGAAAATATTATAATGTTTAAATATGAGCCATATTTGGTAATAAAACCTCGTGCCGTCTACAAAAAAATCCATCCAAATTGAGAACTTCCTTCTCTTTGAAGTCTCTTAAAAAGGTCGGAAGATTATAATTATTATAAATTCGTTTATAAACGCGTTTTTCCTCTTTGTCTGCAACAGACAGTTGACTGAGATTCTCTACCTTCCTCATAGCTAAGTAACATATTATTAGTATAAAAGTTATGAATGGTATAATACTGTGATAATGAAACGAGACATTTCCTTGTTTGTATTTGTTTTAAAATTTCATTTAGCTGAGTAATAAGATAATTCTGTGGTCTGCGTTGTGTTGTACGTCATCTCAAATGACTCAATGACCCAAGTTTAACAGAGACGCCAAGTGCATGATGATATCATTGTTTTCCGCCAGTGATTATAAATAATAATAATAATAAATAAATAACTCTGGACAATTAACATAGCACCATCTAGTCCCACGTTAAGCATAGCTTGTGTTATGGGCACTAGACAACTGATAATAAATACATACTTACTTTTTTTTTGTAAATACATAATGTAAATGTTTAAACCGTGCGAGGAATCAAACCCCATCCAAACAGCGACCATCGGCATTAAAGTGATGTGTTGAACCGCTAGACGAGAAGATATTATGTATTTTAGTTCAGACTTGAGTGTGAGTGTGTGAAGACGATAAAACTACCAAAATAATAAATAAATAAACCAGTATATATATATAGTATATAGTAACAATATATTATATATAAATAAAATTATTTCATATCAAATATTTTTGGCTACATGTAGCATGGGTAAAATACATGATACATGTTGTCAAAAATATTTGATATGAAATAATTTTATTTAATATTAAGTAACTTCGTCTGCATCAAACTTATTTGACAAATCTGCATCAGATTTACATAATATTTTTTAAATTATAGCCGTTATAATGTTATTCAGATGTATAAGCTAATTTTAATGCAATCTTTACAGTAGTTTTACTTATACTACTGTAAAGATTGCATTAAAATTTGCTCAGTAGTTTTTGCGTGAAAGATTAACAAATATCCATCCATACTTTCAAACTTCTGCGTTTATAATGTTAGTAAGATAATAGGTAATGTAGATAAATTGTTAGCACATTTTGTATCCGACTACTTTATCTAAGATTTCAGTAGTGAGTTTTTTTCGTTTAAGTCTAAAATATTTGGGTTACCATCAGATTACGGCGCGGGTTCCGTCATAGAGGAGTGATGGTGCTGCCACGTCAGACCTGCGGGTTGTTCACCCATACCCTACTGCTGGAACGGTACCCCGGTGGAAGGCAAAGGCTCGACCGTTCCATTCAAGGCGGAGAACTATTTCAGACTGTCATCAATAATCCAGTGAGTAGCACAGAAATATGGTTATTCCCAAGGTATTAATTAGCCATTTACTTATCCGTAATTTTTGTTTTGTGTACTTCAAGAAATTATTGATTTAATTTAATTTGTATTTTCTTGTTGATTTTTTACATAAATTTACGTTTTAAATAGGAACTATGAATAGGTAAGTATAGTAAAGTATTATTAATGTACTAGGTACCTATTTACCTTACGTATCTACGTATAATGTTTTAAACGAGTCATTTCTATATTTGTATTGTATGCCGCTACACTGTTTTACTTTGAAGTACGTATATATAGGGTGTGCATGTTTGCGTAAATATATTAACTTGTGTGTATTTTATAAACAATAGGTACATAAATAGCTTTTAGATCATTTTGCAAATTAACGGAACTAAGACAATGATTACTAATTTTAGTCCGTCTATAAGTTCGAACGAATAACCTATTCGAATACGATTTCTCAACCCATTGTGGCAAGTTTTTCAATTTTTTTTTTATATTCCAATCGGTGTACAAACAATAATATTAAACAGGTAAGAGGTCGCACATGCTCGGCTAGTATCTTAATAAGGCTCTTCTTCACCAGATCAACGTGTTTATGACGCACATGTCCAACTACGGCAATGATCGACTCGCACTCTACACTTTCGAGTCGGTGGTCAAGTTCCTGCGGTGTTGGACCAATGTACGCCTCGCCTCCGCCCCTCCCTTAGCGCTTGCAGACAAATACTTCCAGCTGAGGCCCGACGAACTTAATCCATTGTGGGGGGTAAGTAACTACGTGGCTTTGAAAGTCGCTTCGACATTGCAGCTTACATCGTAAATTGCTCACATTGGCGATTAACATACTTGTGTTGCATAAATGAAGGAATAGAGCCCCTATTGGGATAAATTCCAGCTCTGAGTTTTACTATTTATTATTTAGTAATAACTAGTGGTCGCCCAGTGGTAGAAATTCGACCACGTTTAATTTAAATTATTAGTAATAATTATAATCACAGGCACTGACATTCGTACAGGTAATAAACAACAGGGTATATATGCGTGTGTGTCAAATACATAGTAGTGTGTGTTATGATTTTTTATTGATTTAATGAATTTTTATGGAAGTTAAATTAGCATTCTGCACATTCTCCGTATCAACTATAAGTGTGTGAAATATCCTGCGTCCGTGCAATTTTTGTTAAAAGGGATACAAAGTTTTTGCTTCAATTATTAATATGTAGATAACTTTTTATTAATGTTATGTATGTACTATATATCGATTATACAGTGATTATAACGGGAATGACAAACCTGACTGTCCACTTAATGAAAAATGGTAACAGTCGGCTATATACGTGAACAACACCACAGACATTATGCCATTCCTGAGAACTGGTGGCATGTAGTATCATGCTATTTGTAATTTGTATACATAATAGGTTTGTTATTCGACCTCATTTCTTTCCATTAGAAAATAATTTAAGTGAATAATAATATTACTTATGCAAATAAAATCTATTTGCCTATTGTCAAAATAATAATAACATCCGGAAAATTATCAATCTTGGATCAGATAATGGAAACAATCTGAATATTACTTCCGTGCTCAATGAATACATTTCTTCTCAAGAAATAATTGTTTACGTGTTATTATAATTAAGATATACTAAATTAGATAAGCGCTTAACATAATTATAAACTATGTATTCCAAATCATTAAGCTTTTTTATGTGTCTAGAAATATTATGTTTATTATAATAATAAATTAAATATTTGTGCTATTAAAGGAAATATTACCATAAAGATAATTTAGTGTCGGAAACATTGTTATATTTTTAGTGTATATAGAATAGCCATCCACCACAGCGCTGTTAAAAGTTAACGACTCGAACATTATTAAATAGTTATTATAGAACAAAAATGTCATTAATCGTTTCATAAATATTTATGTTTCTATAACGACTCCTGCGACCTCATGCGCGCTGGGACCAAATATCTCCCGTTGTCATAAATTCAGGGATGTCCAGTCTTTGTGTTCATTTACTTTGTACGTTATACATTAACGTTTTTTTTATTAATCATAATGAAATGGTGCACCGTCTAACAGTATACGTTGGCGGGGCACCAGTTGAGATGAACATGAGGCCCGGTCAATTAGTTATAAATTCACGGTGAATTTACCATGATGGTTTTCAGGGGGAACTACGTGGTCAATCTAACATGGTACGAGTCCAGCAATGGAGTTATTAGTCCACATTACTATTATAAATAGATCGTGTAACCGCTATTGTTTAAAAACAAACGAGTATTTTCATCTAAATATAAGTGTTGTTTATTTTAAGTAATCATTATTTGATTCGAGTATACGCTTTACGACTAATTATAAAAAGTGATAACTAACCCTTATGCAAAATTTTTAAATCCTTGGCTTGATTGCTCTGTCACATCAGTCAGTTTATTATAAACGAAAAACAGTGTAACTGCAAATGTTCCTATATATCAGTACATTGCAACGTGCAGAGTTGTGCATATGCAGGAATAGATACGTGAAATTTATAACGCATCCAACGGTGCGCGGATGGCCCCATATTTTGAGCCACACAATACGGATGCCGTGATTTTTAATATTTTATTGCCCGCTATAGATATTCCATATCTGAAATAACAACCAGAAATGGGGAATGAAATATATTAGTCTGACATAACTGCATATAGTTGCTGTCAAAATGAAAATTGTTGTCGGAATTTTTGAGTGCATTTTTGATTTCTATATAAAAATTGAGAAACATAAATTTTAAATTTGTATTTGTTGTTGATTTTATTTTGATTCTTACTCTACTCATGACATGATATGGTTTTTACTGTACTAATACAATTAAATTGGCAGTTAAAATAATTGACAAAATTCTCAGATTTTATAAAGTAGATTTATAAAGATATGTACAATACCTTGAATACCTTCTAAGTATGAATAGTTGTTTTTTCAATTCCAATTTACTTCGTTCTTTTTTCTAAGCATTCGTAAAGAATAATAATTTTTGTCTTATTGTCTGGATGAGAATGCTTGAGCGATGAAATCGATTGTGTACCTTCTTACTTTGTAAATTAAGTACCTTGTAATTTAACAGATAAATAAGCTAATTTTAACTCACGATCATATGCGTCGATTTAGCTTCGTTGTGTGTCATGGGCACCCCGCATACCCAAGCTACAATATTAAAGATTTAATTGATATGAGTGAAATAATGCAAATATTGTATGTAATAAATGTAAATAAATACGTGATGTAGAAGGAATTGTCAATCATTTTTACGTTCGAAAGTCACTATTGATAGCCCCGTTCGAGTGATCGGTGATTAAAACAACAAGATACTTATATTAAAGTTTATTCTTATAGTAATGTTTATTCTCTAGAATCCATGTGACGACATTCGTCACCGGCGCATATGGTCGAAGAGCAAATGGTGCGGCACCTTGCCCAAGCTCCTCGTGATTGGACCGCAGAAAACAGGCAGCACGGCTCTGTATACGTTCCTCGCGATGCATCCAGCGCTTGTCCCCAACCTGCCCAGCCCCACCACGTACGAGGAGTTGCAGTTCTTCAACAATAATAATTATTTGAAGGGATTAGATTGGTGAGTATTTTTTTTTTATTTCCACAGCAGTTGTAGCAGAGGAGCATAACTCGGTCTCAGATATGCTCAGTTTATTTATTTATATCAGATGCCTACCAATTTAGAGAATTCAGTACGTTGCATATTATAGCAGTATTTAAAAAATGGAGCTTCAGTAACTCGATATCAACGTTTAGTCGGAATCTATTACGTCCGAACGAACGCCCGCCGCATTGTATTAGTGCTTGCGCTAAATTCTGAACTATTCAGGCGCACCTAAACCACTATTACAGACTATATCCGCCTACACTTGACGCGTTATAGCGTGGTTCGGGTGGCAGGCATATAATTATACAATTTAGATAATTTTACGAACGGTCTCTATATAGGATAACATTTGACTGTAAAAATATATACGTATAAATGCAGTAGCGTCCTCTCCAAAGATACTGGATTTCAAAACACTGTTACATGCATCTGAAGTGTGTGTAGATATATGAATTCAATTGTTTATATTTATATTCTAGTAACTCTAAGTTAATTCCTAACTAAAGAAATATTTTCTAAATACTCTTTAAAAATTTCATTCGATTTGGTTCTGTTGCAGTAAAAATTTGTATGTAATTTCCCATTTCACACACCTACCAGTACACAGTGTACAGTAATTATGTCACGACTATAAATTGCCCCAAAAACCACCCTCCGTAACCTAAAACTATGACAGTAGGACGAACTAAACGTCTGCTTCTTTAATTAAGATTTAGTAATCATGTTACAACGAACTGATAAGAGCGTCGGCCGCTATTTTATGTAATCAATACATCTATTTATATACAGTATGATAGAAGCGATTTTTAATGCAAGTTGCCGTGATCTGAATATTTTAGACTCATGAAGAATGTCAATATTTTCAAAAATATATAACAACTCTAACCAGTTAACGAATTACAAATGTATTCTAATATTAGATACTGAAATAGCCAATGAAAGTTGGAAATATTTAATGGAATAACCAAACAATATTCAGTTAAATTGCCTTTTTACTGTAGCCCATGCACCTACATTTTGCCTACACTGATTTATATTCTGCTCCGTAAATTCCAAATGTTCATTTATATGTGTGTGTTGCCTGAAAGTATTAATTTCCTACGCCACAAAAATCAGTTACGTGCCATATTGTATTTTATTAACCCGTTTACGGTTTACGTGGAGTTTGAAACTAAAAATAACTTTGTTGCTGTGCTGTTTGTAAGGGTATATGTTTATACCTGCCACGATTGGAAACGACGCCGATAGATAGTAGTAAAACAGCGGTGCCATTCGTAGGTACAATCTGGTTCCAATCAGATGTCTTGTACACGGGCCAATTTCACGGTTTTTGATCCCTTTGATACTCGCCTTATATTCTATTTACGGTAGCGCGGCATCAGGAAATCACTTGATCCAGTATATGTGAAAATATTGTTCGCACTTTTACATACACGCTCACATCCATTCTGACAAGAAGGCGTGACAATGTAATACTATATAACATTAAGATCAAACGATTGTGACCTTTGATTAATTATACTTATATTTACATTTAGTTTTAAATAGCTTTCACTTGAGACGTTATTCACGTAGACTTAGGTATAATTTATTGTATATTCATATTTTATGATAGTAAATTTATTTGTGCAAATAAAAATAATGAAAACTACGTATGTGTGACATGATTGTTTCATGGAAATCTTTATCAAGTTTCACCGAGTTGATTACAAAAAAAAGCTTATTCCCACACCTTAAGATATTCATGTAAGAGCATATTATTCTAATTAATAAGGTATGATACCAATAAAACAAACCTTATTTGTTTGTTTTATCCGCGAAATTGTTTTCAGACTTACTACCGAGTATACATATAAAATTTTATAAAAATCATTTTAAAAATGTAGAATCCATCGCGGACAAGCAACGAGACATGAAATTTTTATATATTAATATAGATATAGTCAATGTGTGTTGTACCTATCCATAGTCGCGTAGCATATATTGGTACGTCGTCCAATCATAACTTATGCAGTATGGATGTACTCTCCATGTCACACATCAATCAACCCATACATTTTTCGATTCGTTTTTGCTACACATACGTTGTACGGTGTATTTTTTTTAAACGTAACAAGCTCGGCAAACATTGATAGCAATTTGTCGGGGACTCTTCTTTTAGGTCATACTGATGTTTATATTGTTATATCTTAAAATAATAATTTACTTTCGAATTTATTCATTGGAAATAAATTGTGGTTATATTGTAATGATTGATTGAGTCGTTAAGATGCCTAGAGGTAACAAAAATCATCTCAAATATATATTTAGATGTTCATTAGTAAACTAGTTAGATTAAAAATGAAGATACTTGATGCTAGGAGTCTTTGATTGTAAAGTCCAACTTTATATCTACAAGATTTATTAATTTGTTGAATGTAAATAAATCAAAACACAATTGAACTTTATACCAATATTTTCTATATCATTGTGAATGTACATTATAATTTATTTTCCCTTTAATCCATTTCCGCGCCACCATTTAAAGATTATATTAAGATTCAACGTGAGTATAGTATCTAATTACAATATTTATGACGTCAGGTACTTAAATTTCTTCCCGCCGAGCTTGGGGAACAGCACACAAATGACTTTTGAGAAGTCGGCTACGTACTTCGATGGTGAGCTGGTGCCGCGTCGGGCACACGCACTCCTTCCCAACGCCAAAGTCATTGTCATACTAATATCACCGTCAAAAAGGTAAATATTCTGAATTCAAATATTCTTTCCATTTCTAATACAATATTCTTTTAATTACTATTATGCTTAGGAATAATTTATTGAAGTGTATAGACAAGTGTATGTATGTTTTAACAAGTGTGCCTTATTATTTAAATTTATTCTTAATGTTGTTTAATGCAAATAAATTATGCTGTATCGATTGAGAGCGTCGTGATCTAAAATCGTACAGATATCAAAGGTATGTTTTATCTAGTCTGGCTTTTATTAAGTCTTTATGAAAAATACTTATATATTCAACGATGGTGATACAGTTGCACCTTGTTACGTTTTCAGGTTACTGGTACGTACTATATATATAATCAATTGTATAATAATCTTCTTAAACGTGGCCCGAACCAGCCTTGACTTTGTTGATTTTATAATAATAATAAGATACGCCTTGACTAAATATAATGCCTACGGAAATTATAACTTTATACAGTTGTTGAACAAAGGAACGAGTCAACAAAGACATTTTACTCGTTTAATGTCAATATTGAACAGTGAGGCGTTATACAGGTTCGCGCGTGTGGCAAAGAGCTTCTTAAAGCCCTCTGGCTACTGATGTGTAAATTTGTATATATCCCGTATGTGTACATCTGTGTATACAAATCGACAAGTTGCTTGTCATTAGAGCGTACGCTTGAGATTGCTTTGCAGGAAGTTGAACCTGTGGTACAACTATCATGTTGGTACATTATACTATATATTTGTATTATTTCATACACCAAGTAATTTATGTCGTTGTATATCTCTTAAAACTCATTTACTATATGTAATTATTTTCTTTTTTTATATCATCATCTTGTGTAAATTTCCAATATTCTGCGTTCTAATTTGTGTTGGACAATCGTAAACCAAGATATACTCTACTATATTATATTATTCGTTCACAATCATTCGTTAAAATTGCTACAAATGTAATCCGCCGGTTCTGTATTGAAAAGTGAAGTGTCTTATATTCTAAATATAATAAAAAGGAATTGTAATAAAACCGTTTGTTTTCAAACGATCCAGTCGAGATAGCGACTTATTAACTTGGAGGAGACTTTTGTTCTATTTAAGTTTATTATATTTGTATTTATCTTTAACATAAACATTCTATTTTATTCGATTTGTAAGATTCTCAATACCTTGAAATACTAGATAAATATACGTCTGAGTTTTATTTGTCGTAACTCACAATTGTATCAACAACAGAATAAGTTCGATGAATTACTTAGATCTGACTCAGATTGGTCCAACTTGCGGATTGAAAATCATTGCCGCGTAACGACATATTTGCACTGTAGTAGTACATTTTTAAATATATTTGGAATGGCAAACAAGATGATTTAAAGTGGCAATCGTCGCTTATATACCTGACTGCTACTACGGACAAAGCGATATCATAACTCTGTACCATGTAACTTTAGTTTTACTTAACTATATTTTTATGTATTTATCTGCATACATACATTGTAAAAGCATAAATATATTTATTATGTATACAAAAACATCATTTTTAGTCATTGTTGATTATTACGTCGATGACATACTTTTCTTTTCGTGATAGAGTAGAATAAGAATACGTTTTAGTTTAATAAATCACTATACGAAATAAATTTCGGTTGGAGGGACCATTCTTGAAATAGTGGGATAATTGGCGGAAAATTAGAACACCCTTGTAGGGTTTATTAAATTGTACACATTTATTTATACGTTTATATTTGATAGATATAGGTACTTATTTATTTGTAAGCGTTAATCTGCAAATAGGAAATAAATATTTATGTATTATGTTTACTGAATATTACAATTGTTAACAATATATTAGATTTTTTGTCACCTTTAATAAAGACGACAATAGAAAAATTAAATTCTTCTTAATAAGATACCTGTAAATTCTCAGTCTTAGTTATGTAGCCGGGCAGGTACATCTTTATTTTCTTTTTCCTCTTTGTTCAATCTTCTGTGATCACTTTGAATAAACTAATCATCAGAATTATCTTAATAAGAGTCATTTGAAATGCCACATATGGATTCATATTTCCAAATATTCTCATTTTTAATATTGGCTCTACTATTCTAATGGTGATATTTAAGTTTTTAAAATCTGAAAAAACAAGGTGAGACTATATTAAAGAGACATCAAAGAATAAATATATATGTATATATATATATGAAAAATGTAATAATCCGATTTCCTTAAATAAATCATTAAGGTAGTTTAATTGTTAAAAAAGTGTTACTGGAGCAATTAGGAACTATAAATGTCATTTGTAATGCCATGTCTAGGTATTTAGAACCCAAATAAAAACTAAAAGCTTTAAAAACGTTACAGTGTGTTTCAATGCACATTATTTGAATACGCCTGTAATTAAAACCTCATTAAACGCCTCATTGGGCTAGTGTTTTGAGTATAATTTGAAATGGACGCTTACTCAATTGGCTTAGAGTTCAAAATGAGCAATCTACACAGATTAGTCACACAAGATTACCGGTAATAGTAAAACTTATTATTTTACCTTGATCTATAGTTGTAAAATTTGTCCCGAATGAATATTAATCTCTCATCCAAAATTTCTAAGGTTAAAAAGCTGGAATTCACAATTGTAAATTAGGGAAAGCGTAGCATATTATAACTAGTTTAACAATAATTATATTGACTTTGATTAGCTTTATTTTCACTTATACGTGGAAGGATTTCTTTAATATCTCAACTTCTTTAATATAACAACTAGGCTACGGTAAATATAAAATATATTCCGAAAATCAATCTCTGTAACAGTGATTTTGTTTCCCGTTTTTCATTATAAATACAATTGTTTCATATTTATTCTCCAACTAGTCTACCAATTACCAACTGACATATTTTCCGTATTTGTTTTATAGCGCGCGTGTTTAATAGCGCACTTTACCTACATCATTTTGTCTATGATTAGAGTCTACGTGTACATTGCAATGCTAACCGTATTTTAATACTATTTTATTAATGATCCCGTTCTACATGGAACTCTCTGTTGTTTTATTTTTCCTGCTTACCACAACATTTTATTCCGTTCATTTTTTAATTCAATTAGTACCGTTGTATCTACAAAACCTAATAATGTTCGTAGTGTTGTATATATACAATCTACGTTAAGACGTAGCTAATATTTATAAAACACAGATGGCATCAATGATCGCTAAGAACTTTATCGTTTATTAAACATATCTATTATATTCGTTTTATGTTTATAAATACTATAACCGGCACAAGTTGTTTTGCTTTATAAATTAATAAGTCATCGACTGTAAAAAATATTAAAGTACTAATATCGCTGTTAAAATAGGGTTTGATGATAGAATGGTAATTATTTTAAGGTGAAAAATGTTGTTAAAAAAATTAACATTTGGATAAAATTTAGTTTATGTCCTATTCTCAGATCTACTGAATATACACATAAAATTTCATAAGAATCGTCAAGCGATTTCGGGGAATTTTACAAACATCAACACGAGAATTGTATATATTAGACAATTTATGTACTTTAAAAACAATTAGTCTATACAAAAGACTCTGAGTAAAACGCGGTTTAAGCCTTCACTGAATTTATTTTTTAAAATGTAATAATGATTTATTTGCTCGTATTAAATATTTAATGCGTATTTGACGGGATAAAATAAAAGTAAATGAATACTGCGATAGGTACGGAATCCCAGCCATAAACCTAAATAGAATATATTTTTATTGTCATCAGGGCCTACTCGTGGTACCAACACATTCGCTCGCATGGCGACCCGGTGGCCAATAACTATACTTTTTACACTGTCATCACTGCCAACGACTCCGCACCTAAACCACTCAAGGACTTAAGGTAAGTTCCTTTTTTTATTTCTCTATAGTATTAGACATTCATTTCATTTGTGATAAACCTCTTTTCTTAGTTTAATTTATTAAAGATTCGATATCGTGTGTATTGAAACAAAATATGTGTTTGTGTCTAAAATTTTATTTAAAGATTCTACCTCTTTAAAAAAATCGACATATATTCTATTTGAATACTGTACCTGTAAATACTATGATGAGAGTGGAGCCTCCTGGCACAAGCATTTTTATAGTTAAATGGAAGCTACAACTATAGAACTTAAAAATGAAGTTCAGAATACTGTTATCATTTCCAAGTTTTTTATTAAAGAAAACTAAATTGTCTTCCATTTTTCTTGCGCTTCTCGTATATGCCGTTAAAACCAAGTATAAATTTCATACAAAATTGGCCAAAGCTCTACAAAATCCCGGGACTTGAACAACGTCCTAAACCCATCATTAAATTGCATATGCAGGACGGTTATGTAGAATGGCTGTGTAATCCTCAAGTTTAGTCTTCATTGAATCGACTCTCTTTCGTGCATAGATGACATTCAAGAACTACCTAGGCGTCTAATCTTCTGTATCCCTGACTATTCTATACTTATTAAATTAATACTTATAGTATTAAAGTGAAAGTGTATCTGTCTATCTATATGTTACGATTTCACGACTAAATGGCTCAATGAAATTTGACGTGAAGATAAATTGTTTGATTTGATCACAAGGACGGATATAGGTTGTTATGACTGTCTCAAAAAATCATAAAACTCTCGGGTAAACGGCATTCTATATAAATACAGTAACTTCTTTATTTATAAATTGATAGCAGCCCTCTTGGATAAATAATAATACCATTTTAAAATTAGATTAATTTACTTTAATATTAATATCTTTATGTCGCTATGACACCCAAGAATTAGACCGTACACAAAAAACTCAAAGCTGACTTGAAGGAAAAAGCAATTTAAAAAATATCCCCCGTAGTAACCAACGAGCGCGTTTACGAGTACCTAAAAAAGAAATTGATTCTGTTCTTGAAGGGGCACCATAAATTTGTAATAAGCTATCCAGCGCCGCACCAGGGGGTCTACTACGAAATGACGAATCCGATGTTTCGCCGAATGTTCGAAAATTTTCTACTACTCTAGACAGTATCAAACAAAGCTCGTAGTAGTAATAGTTGATAGTTGGTATGGACTGTTAATCGATATTTAATTTATAAATAGTCTTTATTAAAACCTTTAGTTTTAAACATTTTTTATTCACCGCTATTCGAAACACCGTTTCAGACGAGAATATTGAGCAAAAAATTTGCCTGTTGTTGCTCTTTTAAACAAATGTTACAACTTAACTTATATTTTATAGTCAAAAACTTGTATAGTACAAATATCAAAAAATACGAATTCATAAAAGAAATATTGATGATTATTATTTATATAAAAAAATTTGTGCTTGTCATCAGATAGACAAATACCTGACCTAAGGTCCAAAAATAAGCATCTGACAGAACTATGTAGTTTAATGTAGTCTAATAATATATCTATAAATGCTCCATCTTGACACTAAAGGTAGTTGCAAAATCTTATTTAATTTTAATAAAATTATAATTGTTATGACATAGAAAAAATAGTTGCATAAACCATTGATCCAGATATACTTCTTTTTTATAATATGTGTGAAATGATAATAAAAACATACTTATTATATTTATGTAGGGCATTGTAGGGTATGTTACGCGAATTTTCATTTGAAAAGCCAAGTTTTAAAAGTTGTTTTCCTTTACTTTCCGTTTTTTTCTATAGAAAAATGCGGAAAGATATAATGATTCTAAACTAACTACAATCACTACATAGTATAAAACAAAGTCGCTGTCGCTGTCTGTCCGTTCCTATGTATGCTTAAATCTTTAAAACTACGCAACGGATTATGAAGCGGTTTTTTTAATAGATTGATTGATATGATTCAAAAGGAAAGTTTATATATATAATACATGTACACCCGTGCGAAGCCGGGGCGAGTAGCTAGTATTTCTATAAAATCAAAAAGAGATCAATTTTAATATATCAATGTAAATATTGGTCCAGTATGATTCGATACTGAATATTTAGTTTTGTAATTTCGAAGTAAACCCTCTGTAATAACACGTTGGAATATATATAATTCATATTGTTTATAGTCTTACATCACGGTAATGATATTTTAAATTTATCAGTTGCAGCAGAATATAAATAAAGTTGATTCGTTATGACGCCATGACGTCTTTTACATAAATCGCCATTATAATTGAAATAAATAAACTGCAACATGTACAATTTATCTTTGCGCATATTCTTAATAAGTACCTATTTTACATATTGAGAGAAAATTATTATTTATGTTATTATACATTGTTAGTATAACTTGTATTAGCTGTTTGTTGTGCTATTTTGGCCAATACAAGAGAACTACATGGGTGTTGTAAAAATCTGCAAGTAGATTACAAATTAAATGAAAGTTATTGAATAAATGCGGTTTGCCAATGATGGTTTAACATAATAGTTCTGCTGCATATTTAGTCATTACTTAGATGCAAAAGACCAAATGTACCATTTATATTTATCTACTGTACTTTTAATTTTCAAATATCATTCAACGTGTCGTTATTACAAATTAGAGTCAACATAGTCAAATCTAATTACATACAAAGATTATATGAAATTATATATTATTAAATACCTATATGGAAAAGAACACACATAAACATAGAATTACGAGTAGGTACTGTGCATTACTTACTTACTTAGTCATGTTTTAGATAACGACTCACGTACATCACTACCTCTTCGTTTTCTGAAAGATATTAATTAATACTTTAGAAACATTTGTTTGCCAACCACTTATACAGTTATTTCTTAAATTCTAATATGAAAGACCTAATTTGAAATGTTGTTTTTGACGTTTCTATTACAATTCGTAAGTACTTCTGTACATGTAATTTGCGTAAGTAGTCCATTAATTTAAGTTTCGGTGTTTAAATTGAATAAAGCGTGTAATATTAAGCAATCAAACAAAACCCTGATGGATATTAAGTCCCTCATATATATCCCGATTCTTGTTATACCATACAAAGTTATATTCTTTACTTTTATATCATTTTTGTTAACATTTTTGCGATGTTAATTTATTGTAGATAGTAAGCTGATGACTTAATTATATTCTTTACCAAGTTATTATACAGTTTCTGATAAAATACCATTTCTCTTATAAATTTTCGGCTAATTTATATTACATATTTATATACTAAATAATAATTATATTCCAGAACTGAGTGTCTATTAAATCTTTATTTCGTTAACATAGTTTTCTTTTGAGATCCAACCAATAATATTAATTATATTATTAAAGTCTCATCATTGCATAAAATAGGTGATGTTTTTACTACATTTTAATAATTGTAAAGAGACGTCTATTCCTAAGAACAAGAAAATATTACCTATTATACAAATACATTATTTTTTTACATAGAAACCGCTGTTTGAATCCCGGCAAGTACAGTCACTACTTGGAGCGCTGGTTGGCAGAGTTCAGTAGTCACCAACTACACATCATTGACGGATCCCTCCTGCGGTCGGAACCCGCTACGGTCATGAACACGCTCCAGAAATTCCTCAAAATACCACACATAGACTACAATAAACTGCTCAAGTGAGTACCTTTATTCTGATTATAAAAGAATCTACACACGCCGCTAAAATCAGGGCCAATTTCGGAGCAGTGGTAGCCGATAGTGGAGCGACGAAGATTTATTTCTAGTTCACAGCGTGATTTGTGAAATCAGGGCCAATTTTACCGATTTTACCCACGCTACAACTGCATAGCAGATTGTAATATCGTGTGTAGGCCGTGTTAAAGGTCATCAATTAAATGTTATACGTTAAGGGGAAGGGAGGGAGTAGATGAATATTGTGTGACAAGGAGTTAGAACAGTCCTAAGTTTCGTAATATCACATTATTAATAATTTTATATATATATATTAGCCCCTTATACCTGAACTAGTTTCATAATCTCGTCATCTACTCGAAATTTCTCTTCCTGCACACAATAGACCTGGCATGGAGAGGGGATTGTTAGTAATGTGGACTGATGATCCCATTGCTAACAATGTACCATGTCAGGTTGACCTCCACGCAGTTCCCCCTGGAAACCATCGTGATAAATTCCCGGTGAATTTATCACGATGGGCTAATTGACCTGACTTCATGTTCATCTTATCATCCTCCACTGGTGCCCCGCCAGCGTAAACCGTAAGCGCAGGTGGGATCATCATTCCATTATCATTCACTAAAAAAAAAATCCATGGACTTTATGACGTTATGACTAGATTTAAAATTAAAATAAAATTGATTTAAGATTTGAAAAGCTGTTAGGTCATACTCGCGAAAGCAGCTAACTCTGATAAGGCGAGGGGTGATCAAAATGAAATTTATGAATACTCCTTAAACACTTGTGATGATTTAACTAATTCGAGCAGATTACTCCGACTTTGTCCGCAGACCTCGGGTGACTCAATTGACATTGTACAAATAAAAGTTGAGTCATGTCATAAACCAATTGTTGGGAAATTGGCTGTTGACACTGTAATGTGCAGGTTAATTTTAAAGTCTGATGAATCGCTCAGCACGCCTTGTAAACACCGATAATCTAAAATCAATAATTTGAGTTATGGCAAACCGTTGCAGCTTAACTCTCGCATTATTTATACTAAAGCTTATCGATGATTTGTATTATATAATGTATTAGATTTAGTAATATACAATCTTATGAGCATATGATTTATAATGTGTTTGATACCCGTTAATACTACGAAAGCAAAAATATTAAAATATAAGGTAATTTGAAAATTTGTCACATTATTAAAATATCAGGTGATATACTGCGCCGACCTCAAATAATAGGATACTTAATTTTACGAAAATACATATTACAATGTGGTACACATGAAAATTATAAACCTGGCCTGTGTATGGACTTGCAATAATTCTGTTTACGCATTGTAATTGTATAATATCTGGATAGATGTAAATGTTACGGTAATGGAATTAAAACTGACTGATCTGGTTGAATGAAAATGCGTTATCAAAAATAACTCTGATCTGGAACAGAGCCAATGCTAGCACTGAATTGTGGGATAGGTGCTTTATGTACCTACTTGCGGAATTGTCGCTACTAATATTAATTGTAGCGGTTCCATTTAATTCAGATTATGTGAATTTTAAAGCTAATCATAAATAAGCAACATCTATTGAATCTTTTTTTGAAATCTAAATAACAGCACATGTAATGATTAAAATCTTCTAAACCAAAGCAGTAACAGCACTAATATTGTTATATTGTTTCATAGTACAGGTGTATTATATTGTGGTACATGCATATATATGAGATATTCTCCACAGGTTCGATGCGAAGAAAGGCTTCTTCTGCCAAGCAGTGAGTAACGAGAAAACGAAATGCCTCGGCAAGTCCAAAGGTCGGATATACCCGCCAATGAACGAGCTGTCGGCCAAATTCTTAAAGCGATACTACACGCCCCACAATACAGCTCTATCGAAAATACTAGTGAGATTAGGTCGTCCCGTGCCACAGTGGCTCAAAGACGAGCTCTCATCCAATGGATAGCATATCTTACAACCTTATAGGTTGGAACAAATTAACAGAACACACAGACTCGTCAAAGTCTGTGTTATGACCATGCCGTGACGGACTGGTGGAATGGTGACAAATGTAATTTTAACTGTGAGCGTAGTACGCGTTACGCATTGTTGTTTTTTCAAAGTGTTTCGATGTGAGAGTATCTTTGTTGAAAAATGTCTTTGTCTATCGATTCTTGTAATATAATGTTTAAAGAGTGATATTATAAATGACTTAATGTTCTTGCTCTGTTTTCGAGACGATGAAAGATATAATTATCATTATAGTTTGAATATTACCGTCGTATATTGTAGAGAACGGCTCTGCGATCCCTGCGAAGCAGCTAGTTAAACTTTGCTTGCCTGAATCATGTTGTTTCTTAGCCATGTTATGGAGTGGTGACCGGCAGCTTTTATTATTTAACTGTCGGATTAGGTGCTATTTGTTAGTAGTATTGCAACCTTGGACATTTCTCTTAATATTACGAATATTTCTTATATTTTATTTTTCTTTTAAGTAGAATATTTTGTTTATATAATTAGCGATTAATTAAACGTACGCAACTATTTATTTCATTGCCATATTACTTGTTTGTATACAGTGACAGGACGCGATGGTATTCTCATTCCATGCTATAACTGGCTAGGTTCGAGATTGTATTCTAGTTCGTTTTAATTACAATGTACGTACCTGATGCAATTTTTAAATATATAGTTAGATTATTTGGTTCATGTCGAATGTTTTAGCATTAAATTTATAAACGTCTATGTCTGTCTGTGCCATACATAATGTTCAATGTAACGGCACTAATGCAATAATTTCTGTGTACTTATGTAACTGGAAATGCAAACTTGACAATAGGACAAGCAGCTAGTCTCCTTAGTTTAGTTCGTCATTACATATAATTTTCTTGATCACGATAGAACAGTCATATTCCTATTTTCTTTTGTGTGTCACGTGAATGTTTTTATAATTGTGAATGTCTGTCATAAACCAATCAATAATATATCAGTTTTGTTACCGTTTTAGTAGTAAGAATTTATAATATACATATTAAAAATGTGGCGTTATATTTTAAATAAAATATCAATTGTGACATAATAATGAATGAATCATAAAATGTATTTGGTATATATTTTGATATGGATGAATTTATTGGCGAGGTGACTCGATAGGAGATGAGTTAAAGCAGATTGTATAGGAAACATTATTTTCTGTTGTATTAGGTACTTAAGAATTATTAATGTTATTTTCTCCCGAACAATAGGAAAGCACAGACATATTATATGAGATTTGTATTTTATAATGATACATTAATGTTTTTATGTATTATATAGTAAATGCAAGATATTCAGTCATATGTTTTTTTTTTTTTTGGAATGTTCACTTTCTCGTTAAGAAATTCAATGTTCCAATTATTGGCAAATGTTACGTATCAGATAGAAAGCCCTTACGAAACGAAGTATGAACGCAATTTGGTGTTTCTTTAAACAAAATTCAAGGTGTGTAATTTGTTAACACCTGAAGGTCATTATTCTGTCGTTGATAGATTGTTCCTGTGGAATGGTTGTTTACTTGGCAATAATAGTTGCTTTCCACTGAACTCTAAACAAAGGGTAAAGTCCACCAACTCATTAATTTCTATTGGAAACTATTGTTGATATTTTATGTGAAAACATTATTTACGATACAGCCAATGACTGCTCTTAAAATGTGTTCTTTATAAGAAATTAATACATTACTTATTTTATTAAATGATTTAAAACTAAATTGTCTTTTTTTTTTAATTCTACATCGTTATAAACCTAACATATTCATATATAATGTTTAGAGGCTAGGTGGTACCGCTATTATTTTGTTTGTTCGTAATGGTATTGGTAGCGACAGAAAACGGATGGTGGCTATGTACATATTCACCCCCTCCGATCGATCCCCCGTCCAATTCAAACGGGGATCAATATTACGATGGCCTGAGCCGAGGTTCGAACCCCCAGCTGTGCCCTCAGACTAAAGCGAATCCGTGAGGTGGTAGTTTGGCCTACTGCCGCTCCATAAATCCTTCCACGGGTTTGGCACTGCAAAAAGCAGCACTCGCCTTCTATCGTTCAGTGAAAATGTAAAATACTGCTGCGGCCAAAACCATTAGAGTAGTCCGAAAAATAAAGTTAATATTCATATTGTAGAGGTATTTACTAATGATACAAGAGGATTCCGTCCCGAATTACAAAACTGTTATTTTCTTGTAGCATCGTAAGCAGGCAAAGCTGTTACTGCGCGATGATAATAAATTCAGCACAATATACAGAAAATTTAACAAATTTTCATTTATCTGGTATCCAATCTATCTCAGGCGGTCCAAACATAATAATTTCAGTGACAAAATACTAAAATCTGTGTTTTGAATTTTGGCTAATATTTTCAATAAGCACAATGTCTCGGTCGAGTGCAACTCGAGAGAAAGACTCGTACAATCGAGCCAGGCAGGGCCGGGCTCAGGGCGTCTTGAAAAATGTATTACCTCGCGGCGTATTGTTCGATCCGCCCGCTCCGGGAAATACTTTGCATGCAGCTATAATTTTCGATTTGAATGGGTGCATCCGTAAACAAAGTACGTTGAAAGCCGTAAACAAAATAGGTCGCTATGGAAGTCTCACGCTCGGTACACCCAGCCATTTTCTTTTGTTCCATATTTTGTGCTTATAATTTTTTTTCAGTTGTATTAAAGGAGCTATTTATGTATATACCGACTACAGTTGGTTTCGTGAACTCGATTGAATAGTCCCTATTGTTTTATTTACATATAAGTATTGTAGATTTCAATTCTGGTCCGAAAATCTAATCTGGTTCTGTCATCTGTTATTTATGAAATATAGTTAGTATACCTATGTTGAACAAAATAATAAAGTTTGACAGTCTCTTACACAGCTTAAAAAGAACTTAAATTGGTCGCTGTTCCTTTTTGTATATACTTTACACATTATTAGTAATCTTTAGGAAACAAATCGAGATTTGTTCGGCGCTATATTTTTTTCTGTCATTGTTTTTTCTTTGCAATATAAACGGCCCTAAATACCAAATGGTTAGTGCTAATTTATAATGTTTCGTTAATATAACTAATAAAGATGAGTATAATAATATTGACACATTTAAAACTTTTAATTAAACCACGGTGCTACATTTTTAACTACCTAAATGTTTTTAAATTTCTGACAATCCTTTCAGTACACTAAAGTATTTTATACTGATTTCTACTGAGATATAAATAAACTAATAAAAAAATATTGTGCTGACCATTGGACAGATAACTATAATACAACGGGCACAGGTGTCGGCACACGGCCATCGTCGTAGGCCAGAGTGACTGATTCGTAAACTTATATTTGTTGAGGTTTTTCTTCACGAGTTACATTTCTGTTATCGGATAAGTTGTATAAAGAACTTAACATTTATATTATATATAACATGTAGAAGGTCTCCTGTAAAAATTATTATAGTGTACTACGATGAAATCTACTTGTGTAATATATATTACATTGCTTTCAATGGCTCAATGAAATGCGATTTTTTGTACGCAATATTCCAAGTTGCGTACAATACAAATCGTCGCTATTTCTGAAGTATGGAATCCTAGACAACAATATAATTATCTATATTGTATCGATTAGGTTACTATAAGTAACGAGCCCCGTGGCATATAACTCGGATCAAGCTTAGAAAAAAGATAAATTCCGCTGTGTCCCGAAATTCAGTTACCCTAGATCTATTAGATATTGAGGTATAACCCCGATATGCCTTGGAAGTAACAACCTGCGCGCATTATAGCTTTTATCTTAAAATTACCGACAGTGATGGATGATGGCTGGCGACGTAATTCATTTATCTGCGATTAAGGGTCGGTGCTGTCTCGCTCTATAGCGAACTGCAAAATTGACATGTTAAAATGTTAGGTAAATAGGTAAGATAATACTTAACAGAGTCAATATTCTCCGTCTAACGAAGTTGACTTTGTGCAAAATAGTTGTATATCTCCTGGTAACTTATATGAGAGACCAAGCAGCTTGCTTTGTAAACTTTTTCGGTTGATATATGGCAGTGAAATTACCGGATACTGAAAACATCCTTATCCTCCAAATTGCAAAGCATTAGGGATACCAAGGCGTCACATGATATTCGTGATGCGTTTCAGATATGGTGTTTATTACCACATACAATCAAGTGGGCGCTCAGCTTAATTGTAACCACATTTAAAACAGAAAGATCAATCAAATCACCTGTATGATACAGGTGTATTGATTGAATTATGTAATTAATTTGTGTAATTGATAATGCGTGACACTGTTGTATTGGTGTGGTGTATTGTAACTTTTATTGTGTTTTACCCAAGTCAAATAAGTATATTTGTTGAATGTAAATGCTTTTCAATTGTTTAATTTGAAGTTTGTTCAATTTACAATATGATATTGTGTTGTGTTCATAAATACGAAATACGTTTAAGAATCATATTAAAAAGTCGTAGTGAAAATTAGACATACTATTCATCTAGTATGAAACGTCCTGGTTTTAATTATTAATGTTGACGGGATGGAATTTCCAGTCTAAAAGATATCGTACTTCAAAGTTGAAATTAGTCAGAAAATTTTATACCAGATACTTTATTATATCTATATAATAATTTTGTAATTAAGTGGACACTACTGTGTTGGTGCCGTACTCGTATATAATAGGTATATCTGTTAAAAATACGGTGTTGGACATCTTAAAAGCGTTCACTGCTTCTCGTTTTAATATTTAAAATCAATTAAATTATTTCCTATATCGGTTAGTATAAAAAGGATGGATTTTTAATTTGTTTATAATCAATGATCTAAAAAGACAGTTGACTGATTTAAAAAATCTTTTACCTATAAATAAAACTCTATGAATGCATCGGAGCGAGTTACTACCTTAAAAAGCCCTGATAGCGAACTAAGACGTTAATAATTTTCGACCTATTTACGTGATGAGTACAAACGAGGTACGTACTTTACTGTTTTATGATGCTATGGCAGCAAAATTTATTACTTGGTGTACAAAAATCTGCGTAAACTAAACCTTATGACTTGCTAGTAAAGATCTTAAGAAGAAGATATTGTTTTAAACATCAATAGTATCGTAATATTAAGGTCTAAAATAAGCAATCGAGTGATTTTGTTTAGTACTTGACATGAAAATGGAAACTTGTTTATTCTTACATAGTAACACGTAATAGAATATAGTTTTCTATTGTGACAATCGGACAATCTCTGGGAGAAGGACGCTCAGTAATATAATACAAAACTATTACCTGACAAATTCCCTGTAGAAACCAAGTGAGGTAAGTTCACCTCACCCTTTTCTCCTTCACTGTTGCTCCGTAAATGTAATTAATATTAGACTATTGCAATATCCTTTAAGAAGATAGACTCGTATCTAATGGTTGGAAATATTATTTTTATGTTTAAAGTTTTTACGATGAGGTCGAAATCGTCCTATTTCGTCTTTGAATCGCTATTTATGAAATGGTAGAACATTTTAACAACGTTCAAAAACTTGTCGGATCCGTAATCTAGAAAAGCTTAGCATTAGGTAGTACATTAGAATAGATGACCAATGGCTAAAAACCTAAAACGAATGTGATGTTTAATAGTACTACAGATAAGATAATATTACATACCTAGTACCAAAACCAAATCCTTGTATTTTTTAGTCAGGCTGAATCCGGAACATAGAGGCCCCGGACGTGTTTGGCATGGATTTATTTGCGTATTGCATGCAATTTTTTCCCGTCCCGTTTATTGGCAAAGCCCGAATCTATACCCGAACCTTGAGCTATGTGAACAAAGCCAGTCGGTAAGTAATTATGATGCTGCTTGTGTAGTTTGCAGCATATCGACAGTAGGACGTCCGACAAACAATATCTAAGTTTGAGTCGCTTTGTCGTAATATATATTTGCGAACTCCCGAAAGCCTCGGTGGAGTTTAAGCGACTTTTCAGGCTTATTACTATTTGTGTTGCCAAGACTTGTGTCTACTCACTGACGAATAGCTGAACAAACTATTCCGTTGTTTAAAAATTAGTTTCTCGTAGGTAATGAAACACTTTGATGGTATTAGAAATGTTGAGAATCCATTAAAGTATATTTTCAAGGAAAAATCGTTTTAGTTGTATTTTTGTTTGTATATCTTCACCAACTGTGAATTGATTTTAATACCTCTTTTTGCGACGGCACTTCTCAGGTATTGCCCACATAATAAGTATAAAAAAATGAAGACGTTTGACAAAATGAGACGCAAATAATAATACTAATTGCGATTTATCATTCCAAAGATACCAAAATTTAAATCCAATATTTATAAGCCAGGTTTAAACCTAAGACCTTTTAGGTACACCGCGTCGGAGTAGTAAACCACCGAGCTCAATGCTCTCAAAGTTATTGTGTTTCTCTTAATTGTCTACACAATTATGATTATCTGTTATTAAGTAATTAACAGGTAATAATAACAAATCTCTTTGATTATAACTACCTACTATTATTACTACCAGGTAATAGTTAGATCCATAATTACCACTAGTCTGGCTGTCAAATCATGCAAATTCATACTGGATAGGATTACATTTATTTACTTATTCATTTATAAATCTTGTATGTACTTTATATATATTTACAGATCTTACAGTATAAATGTGAGTACATGAGTACCGTTTGGCTGTAGAAAGCATTGTTTAC